TTATCAAAAATAACATTATTTAAGAATCTTTAATAAGTGATGCTTGGGAATGATGGTAATGGGGATGAGCGGTATTGACTAAGCAATAGCAGAGTTTAATTCACATGTTACTGATGACCTAATTAAAAACTGGTAATCATATTCTAAGAAGAGCATTTAAGCGTGTCTTTTTTTTAATGAGTTTACATTTTTTTCAAATTACTTATTCTAATAATTGAAATAAGTTCTATTAGTTCACTTTATTGATGGAGTTTTGAAGAAACATATGTTGTTGAAAATCCTTTTTTCTCACAGAAAACAGCAAAGAATTTAATTAATTTATCAAATCCACTCATTTCAAATAATGTTTTTGGGATAAACGTTTCTGTGTATTTTCAACATGTAAGTGTACATGAGCATCTTTCTCAAAATAGTGTTACTGTCTGTCGCATGTAAACAATGTCCCTAGTATTTCTAAACGTGTCATCCGGAACTACTTATTAACTAATCGGGTGTAGACAAAGTAAAGTTTTTCCATTATACAATGAGCGAAAATTGTTTTTTACATCAAATAACAAAACATCTACATAGACTGTAGAAATTGCATTATATTTCTACTATGCATGGAAATAATTAATCAGACTACACACTAACATTAAGATATGTGGATAAACTCTACTCTTTAGGTTAAATTGTCTTACATATGATTTAGAAATTAAGAAGATTGTTTACTGTTAGTTGAGCTTCTTATCAACTTAATAATTTATCCCTACGCAAAATATTTCAAAACACATCTGTTCAAACTATTTCGACTGAATGTTTTTACCTATGGTGGCTGGATAGTTTCTAAAAATGATAGTGAGATTCTAATAAATGAACTAAGAAAGACAGAGTAACACACTCGATGCCGATTCTATAGAGACGTTGTTAAATGGTCACAGTTCCGGGCGTGTAACTCACAGGATAATTTATACATGAATAGAGCTGAAGACTTGAAAGAAATGACGGAACAGCTTTAAGTATTGAATTATGATGATGCTTCTCAAAAAGATATTGTACATTATTAATTTTCCTGATCCATAAGTTACGAAAATCAAAACTCTTACTCAAATATTAACTGCATTATCATATTATTTTTGCATTTGATAATATTTAACTACTTAATTAATACTCATACTTTTACTTATAATTCAACTGGGGTAGCAAAGATATTTAAAATGGAATAAATTAGTAAACTTTAGATTCATTTACAGAATTAAGATTGAAACAAAGTAAAAGAAAGATGTAATAGTCCGAATCACCATTTCTTTAAAGTATTATTCTGAGTAATAAAATGCAAACAGTGGTCACATTTTGTTTGGGTTTCCTGTCTCAATACTGCGGAAAATTGATCTCCCTGCTACTAGTGTGATCATTTAACCTCTTATTGCAATAGTGCATATTAATATTTCGCTCCCTAAATTAAGAAATTAATGTTGTCATTCAACAAGACAAGGCCGACTTTCCGTCATCTTGATCTTCTTACTTCAATTTATATTCAAAATCTGAATCAACCTATATCAGATTGAACCTGTTGATGTGTTTTACGGATTATGTTCAAATTGTGATTGCAAAGAAACTCTGTCTCCCTTCGGAATAAAATTGAAATCTTAAAATAAATTTACTTTGACAGCTACTTACTTATATCTGCAAACAACTGTTCAAGTTAATTAAACATATCAAATGACGATTACACTGTGGTTCAGTGAATTGAAATACATAAGGAATTTATCAATCTAGCTTCATCGAGTCCAAAAATGATTAATTTAGAGTATAACATTTTACGCCACTAACTCAAAACTCTAGAGTAAGTTTTCCTCTATCTGCCGTGAAATTCCGCACTATTTACTTGAGCAGTTAGTATTTCCTAAATATATATGTTTTATTTTTAAAGTTAAAACCAAAAAAATTGTCTGGTCATGTTTTAGAAATACAAAAAAACTTTACAAGGTCAGTATTTTTTTCTTAGTATATCAAGACCTTATTTTTAGTATCCATTACCAATAACATAAGGTTTCGCCTGAGTTATCAGGTCTATCGGAATCAAATAAAACAAATCAGTTATAAACAAACATAAATCATACGCTTTTTGAGCAGATATATCACAAATTATTATATTCTTATCCTTGTAAAGACACTTATAGACCCGTTCTATAGGTGTCGAAGAGAAATAAAAGAAAACTGTGCAGCTATTTTATATAGGTGAAAAGAAGTGACATTAAAGCAGATGGTATCTATTTAGCTATTTATTTTTTCATCGACACACACTGTTATAAATGACAGCTTCTGACGAGTACTATCATCGTTTTATTCATAGCAAAAATATCGTTGCGAAAAACAAATCCTATCAGTTTCATTTAAATCTGTTACTTGATTATAAGATGAAAAGAATTAATCGAATATTATCCTTCGAAATATAATAGGTAGTATGTATAAATCAAATACAATGAACTACCCATCATTTTACTTTGAGTTTTAATACTATCACTCGAATCATATTTCAATTTACTCTCAATGAGCTATTCAGAATAATAACCTACTAACCATTATCTGACTATATCATAACATTTATTCATAAAACTTCAGTTTTCGAATTTCATTTCATTTTTTTGTATATTCCTTGTGCTAACTTACTTTATAGCAACAGTTTCTTCAATAAAGTGATTTCTCAGCTCTGTATAAAAAAACTATTTTAGTTAGATCAAGATGTCTTGTCGAACTGAGTGAATATGTAGTATTTATGTTTACTTGTTATTTCGGTGGTGACATGTTTCATGATACATTTCCATTGTTCACCTTGATCACTAAGTTAATTTGTAATACTATGACTAAACTGCCATAAATGCATTACTACAGTGAACTTTGTATGCTAAAGTTCAACGAGAGGAATGTCTCTGAATAATATTTTATTGCTCTAGGAACTCAACACCATGACTATTGTTCCGTACAATATATTTAGTCACATTATTGGAACTGCCACTCACAGACACTGTATTTTAACTAACAGATTTTGTATTGGGTTTAAGTGAAGTTAATCTGAATTTATTTTATCAACAGGAAATAATTTCATTCATGTATACAAAATTGCTGGAGTGATCCAATGGCCTATTTTTTCTGCTTTAGATGCTAATTAATTATCATTAGTTAAATAGTTATTCATTAAACAAATAACTGTCTCTGTTGACTGACAAAATTGGTTCATAAACATATTAAAAAGGGATTATTTATTCGTTTATTTATTGATTTGCTTTTTACTGCATTTACCATATCGTTATTTATTTATGATGTCAAGCCTATTACTTATCACAATGGCAAGTTAGATAGATCCTTCTATCTTTGAACACTGTGAAAATGGCTTAGTATTATTTAGTTTGATCAAACAACTCATAGTAGTTACTCTATGAACCATTAAAATTATGATGAGAATGAAAATTCAACGAATGGTATTTATTCTGCCTTGAGAAATTTACTGTTCTGTATGCCCAGTTGAAATGTAAATTAAGTTTTATTATTTATTTCACAGATAAGACGAGAGTATGAATGAAATAACTGTTAGTAAACCTTTGATTCACGTTTTGGTTTAGTCGGCATTTATTTATATTGCTTTCTGATAACCTTAGGGAGGGGGGGAAATTCTCTGTATATTCACAGTATTTCGCTTGTCATTTAACCGTTTTCAGTGATGTTTTATGCTCAATTACATTTTAATTATGATTTTTTAAGTATTGCAAGTTTGTCCAACTATTTTTAAGGTATTTTCTTTACTTGAAGTACACTATCATATTTAAATAAATCTGTTTATTCACTGAGAGATATTTAAATTTATACGGTTATGTGTGCTAACTTTGATAGCTCACCTTTTTAAGACTAGTTGTTTACGCATCTTCGTAAAAGTTACACAACATTAAATATTCCATTGACTATGATATTATTCTACAATACTGGACAACTTTCATTATTGCTTCGTTACCTAATCTACAAACTGTAGAGAAATTAAGCTAATCAAACTAAAAATAAACATTTGACTTGTAAACTTAATAAAAACATAAACTTTTGCTTGACTTCATACTTAATCTCGAAAACATGAATGATGCTTAATATTCTGATGCCACATTTCCTAGACAATCATGAATATTTAATTTTTGTGGAGCAGACACACTCCAATTCATAACGTCAAGCTCTCTATAATTAACTGTGAGTGATGCATTAGTGATGTCTACCGGCTCCCAGGAATCTAAAATTAGCGCCGAGTTCACCACCATTAGTTGCCTATAGTTACTAATTACTTTCAAATCTTAGTTTTACTTATTCATTCTACAAACAGTGAAACTTAACCTCTGATCCTGAAACATAATTATTCAAAAATTCAGTTTTAAATTTCGGAGGGTCTGGTACACCATGATTTAATGCTGGGTGGAAAAGTGCCACCGATCATACTTTTGCAACTTAGTCCATCATCTTTGTATGTGCAATTAAATCTTTGATCAAGTCTATCTCAGTTACTTTATTTCTGGATATGGATCATTTTTTCGATATAAAGATTTTTAATTTCAATGTAATGTATAACTGAACTGGCACGTATTATGTAACTTATGTAAATATTAGGATCCACATTTTATTTTCCTATATCATTTTATTATATTAGGAGAAATTATTATTGAAATCTTGTTGCTTTTTTATTAAATAAGACCTCAGGAGCTGTAAAATTTTGAAAAGTAAATTTTTGAAACTATGTTAGTCAAAGTACTTGCATTTGCTTAAAATGGAAAGAATATTTTAACTAAATGATATCTTTTTAGAGTGTATAGTAAAACTTGAACAGATATCCAGTTACAAACTGATAAAGAAGTGATATCATGTTGGTTTTCATAAGCTTTAAATTCAGTACTCACTTCATATTTTGGTAGTAATCCTGTAGGATTGGTTTTACTGTATTATTTCTTACTTGTAAGATAACTGTAATTTCTATTGACTTCATATAGCACCATTTCTGAAATCAGACAGTTACTGCGTCATTGAATGTGACCTGAATACCCAAATTCCTGTTAATGGAACGTGCAAGGACTGTCCAAAATCTGGATGTCCTGAACGTAAGTTTCGTGCAAAGCGTTTTACGTAAAATTTTATAAATATTTACCCATGCTACTAATTTGAAAATTTGTAATTTCATGCCAATTGAAACTGAAGGGATCCGCGAAATATAAATATCTTCACTTTTTCAAATTGTTGGTAAAACTTTCATGACTTTTCCAATAATTACTTGAACGCATACCGAAACTCATATTTCCATCGGTTGTTTCGAGTTTCAAAACTGGGGTATTGACAATTATGAAAAATCTACTTCTTTGATATGAAATAGTCATTTGCCTACTTTTTAACGCTGTTGACTTTGTGTATGCATTGTACAACACATTGAAGCAACTTCGATACCGCACATTTTTTACAATAAATACAGTTAACTTTTTACACTTGGAACGATCAACTCATTTTTTAATGTGTAAATTTACTGGTAGATGGATGAATTCATTTTCACTGATGCTTTATGATGTTGAGACAGATCACGTAAAAAATAATAAACTATAAGTAATTCCATATTCATTGTCACGACATTTAAAATGCATCAATACATCATCAAAACAAAATAGAAGAATTACTACTTCATTTCAACAGGTCATAAGATGGCGGAAAGTTTCTTCGAGTTTCAAGTTTGTTGTAAAACAGCTCAACTTTACACAGGCTAGATGAATTTAGAATACACCAGTTTTGAAAATGAATTGAATTTTATACTTTCAGTTTAGGAAAGCATAATAAAACTGAAGTAAAGCGTAACAGCTGAGTAAAAATAAAGCGTTTGTAAATGTATCCGGCTTAAAGTGCTCGCGATGGCAGTAATAATTTATAACCACCATGAACATTTGAACGATTTTCTTCTAATCTCACTTCCAGTTGAGTTTTCAATTGTTTATTCCAAAACTCTGTAGATGTTGAACGTTTTATCTACATGGGAAAATAAATTTACACCTTATCAGGAAATCATATTTTCGGTTTAGTTATTAATAAGTTATGACAAGCTGATAAAGGGTTAGTTCGTGTTTACTCTGTTTGGAATTCTCAAACATTAAGATGAAATGAGATGAAAGTAAGAAAAATGTGGATTCTATAGAACAGCTTCGTTGAATTTCAGAGTCAAGACTCTTCTACGTAGTATTTACGGTTACTTGTTCTTACTTTTAAGATTGTATTTACGAATATCAACCACTTTTTGATTTACCGATTTCGTGCTTACAAACAACAATCAAACACTATTACCTGGAGACGCACGGTGTTAAACATATATTTTATCCTCTTAAACCGTTTTCGCAATGTACCCTGTTCAACTATGATGTGAAACAAATTGAGTCAGATCCAGGCTTAATTTTTGGTAAAGGACATTCTGTTTGACATAGGAAAATGAGCATGAAATGTAACTCGTTTTGACAACTTTGTTTAGTTTGAGGTGTATGAGACAGTCAAATTCATTCAAAGGTTTTTCGTAAAACAAACAATGGTCTTATATTTGAAACATCAAGTGTAAAAACCGGATAGCTTTCAAAATGATAAAATTTCTATCTTTCCGTAAGTTTTTTTAATCCATCATACACCTTTCTTCTACATATACTAAATCTCCTAAAAGCAACAGTTAGTTATATTTCTTAAATGTTTATAATTAGTTTACTTCCTTAGACAGTCCTTATACTTTCTTTCCTGTTTGAAGGAAACATGTCCACATTTCGGGTGGATAATTTAATTTGAAAACGTTGATTGTATAATGAAACTCAAATATTATACTAACTAGAACTCCGAAGCCGTTCAAAAATGAACTGGAACATACTGTCTGAAAGAGTCTTGCACGGTTTAGCTTATTGTATCACAGCTTTTGACTATGAAACTCAGTGGTAACGGAAATACCAAGGTATTGTAATGATATTTTATACGTTGAGGAAATTATATTTCAGTAATACTTTGGTTAATTATTTAATTTATATCCTCTTATCACCGGGAAGGACATTTAAATTTGAGGATAAAGCTGTATCAAGGAAACTTTACAATCAAGTTTGGGTTGATATTCCAATTAAAAGTATATAAAATAGCTACAATGAGGTCCTTGATATCTATATCAAGCTTTTTAGACTAATATCTTGCTACAAATAAATATATCTAACTAAATATCAATACAAATAATGGAATTACGCTGTTGTAAGATTTTTTGTAATATAAAAAGTCCCAAACATTTGCTTTACAAACTGGTAAGTTCCAAGTTTTGTTTTTCACTAATAATGGGGGGAAACTGAAACAATCTATTTCCAAATTCTCTATGTAAAGGACCTTTAGTACAGTCATTAAATAGTATTGATTATTTCGTTTTTCAGTCTATCAGTTAGCTTAAGAATGGGGATTGAAGTTGACTGTGCGAACGTTTAGTTTGGGCCTTAATACGAAGTAAATTAGTTATCTCTTCACTGGGATTTCACATTCAGGAATTAATTGAACGCATAAAAATGCATTAGTAGATTTTTTCTGTTGTTTAAAATTACATCTAACTTTGTTACACCCAATCTGAGAGGATTCAAGTGTTCTACACCACTGCTCCGTGTAATTTACTAAGAAATACTAAAAATGACCACTGTATGCCATGAAAATTGTTGCTTCAGATTGTCTGTTAACTCAACCAACGTTTTTGGGATTAAGCATAAATTGCGTGAGGTATCGCACTGGCTGAGAATTTAATCTTGGTATTCTTTAACATTGATTGCTAATATGGGCTTCAAATGGACTGATTTTCATCAGAAATATTAATTTGATCATACAAGAAGTTTATGCTTCAGAAAACAATTCAAGCGATTTTAAATATTAAAACTTTAAGTTGATGGGCTGCTGTAACGATTAAACAATATTTTGAACTGATTAATCTTCTTAACTTTCCAATAATCTTTGCCTCTCGGTATTTCTGTGATGGAAATGCACATAAGAAAGATCTTTAAATTCACCATAACGTTTCAGTCAGTCAACATGAAGTTACTGTTTTTTTGAAACCAGAAATCTATTTTACAATTTTTCTTGTTGTTAAGCAATCGTTTTATTGCAAGGATGAAGGATTTTTGTCATTTTTTCTTAATTTTTACCACAGATTGTAAAGAAGAAACAATCTTTCTAAATGGAAGTTTGAATATCTTACAATCAAGTTCACTACGGAAATTTAAATCTTGTGTTTATTATACTGGTGGTTTGTATATAAGTAAAGAATCTTTTCAAAAAAGGTGAATTTGTGTTAGTTTTGTTTACTTCACGATAAAAGAATATTTGGCTATATTTCTTAAGATTATCTTATCAATACTGCCTTAGCTTTCCAAAGTTTACATTGTTTATTGTTTTACGAAACGAATGAGTTGTTAGTTGTAAATCATATTCTCAAATGAATTTTTATTATATTAGTTAGGTCATTAACATAATAAATCAAAGAATAAACTGGACTCAGAAAGGTATAAAAACTAACTGGTTATACACTCATTTGCAAAACTTCGATATGGACAACTTATTTGGATATCGTAATAAGTGACGATATCTAATGCGTAACTTCTAGAAAACCGAAATCGAATAGTTTACGGTATTCACAAAAATAATTTGTCTTACAGCATGGAAAGATTATGTCATATTTATTCACGACTCACATATCCTCATACAAAATAACACCCTTAGTTATCCTTCGGATTATTATAATTTATAGTGACTATCATTCCATGTAATTTATTCTTACTTTTCTAGAAGACTTTAAGATATGTGATAATCATGTAACTGTATTGTCTTCAATATCTTTGTTAGGTTGAAGACAGTTACTGACAGTTCTATGTAACCAAAATTCAATATACGATATCAAACTTCCTTGATGGTAGTTTGATGATATATTCGCTTCAGTATTAAGACAAAAATCTATTAAAAGTACGAATTTGACCGTTATTTTTTAAATATCGGATTACAATTTTTGTACAATGATCCAAGCCGTCTGATATGCTTGCTCACTACCTATGTGAGTGCTTTCAAATTAAATTAACAAACTTTTAAGAGTGAGTTTATGGTACGTTATGAAAGTAGAAAGAGAGAGAAATTGAACTTAGATTTACGATGTTATTTCGTTTGCTTCATTATAACTAAATAATATATTTGTTAGTTTGAATTCATTGTTTGAAACATTTCTTGTTATTGATTATCAATTTTTTTGTTTTTTTTTGTTCACAGTTCACTGTTTCCAGATCCAATAGAAGACGTCAATGAACTCTACAATTTGTTGAATCTGAAATCAATTGTTGGGTACATCTATTTTGATTTACGTGGAGCTCCAGAAGAATTAAAAAATTTAACATTTCTGGAAAATCTAGAATCAGTTGTTTTGGAAGGTATGTTGAAGTTATATTGCAAAAAAATATTTAGAAGTTCGTGGGAAACAAAATACATACTAATGACCGTTTGAAGAATTTATGGTTAACTGAATACTATGGACGAGTTTTTAGAACAAATAATTCTTTAGAGCATCTTTTCTGACGTTTAACAGTATAGACTTATAACACATTAACCCTTGCAACTGGTTTGAACTATTAAATACCAGTAATGTTTATGTTATTCACATACTACGGGTTTCTGATAGGTGGAACTAGGCTAAAAATATCTCTAAACTTTGTTGATCAGCGCTATTATCGTATCTAATAATTATGACAGAAACGTTCACTTACAATTACATAAACGACTCAATAATAAATGTACCCATTATTTTCTAAGATTAAAAGTATAACATACTTCTAAACATTTTCAGTGAAAAGTCAATCGCCAGGAGCAGTGATTACAATTATGAACGGAGAACATATCGAGTCATTTGGTTTCAAATCACTTACTAATATTGGTGGTTATGTATATTTGAAGAATATGCCAAAATTATGTTATATTAGTGCGTTAACAAAAATGTTACCTGTACGTATGATAGATGTACAAGATGAAGAACTTTGTGGTATGTTCATATTTTATGTATGATCATTTAAAGTTGCCTTAGATCTTATTGATCTTCTGTAAGCATTCTGATAATCTAGTTTATGAATAGACTCGTCTTACATATATAATAGTGGAGTATTATTTGTCTAAAGACATCTGAAAACAAAAGAAACTAAAGAAATATTTGAGTAAGGTTGCCTTGCTGCACATAAATACAAATAATATATGCTTATTTTACTCCAACCTAACGATACAAACCTTGATGGAACTTTGATGTATTACAGCTGTGAAGGTTACATCCTGAGGTATCGTGAAACAGATCGCATTCATATTTTGTAATAAAGTGCCACTAAATAGCATTCAAGTGCCTCCGAGAAATTATTTATCACTAACTATAAGAAAACGTTTAACTTTATGGAAAAATCCATTGTTTAGTCACGATATAACTCACCGAAAAATATTATTAATTTGTTATCACTAGTTGATTGAGAAATAACATATTTGCCGTTAAAACCAGCGTAGAGCTTTTCAGAGAATTATGTAATCTTTATTGAGCCTAATCATTTAAAAATCCCGTATGCATCTCAATGAAAAATGTATTGGAATAAGATGATGTTTGTGTCAGATACTTTGTCATCATAACTTACCATCTGTGATATATGATGATAACAATTTATAAAGTCCATGACTATATACATCATAAATATTCCATACGTTAACGAACATTCATTTTTTATTATTTAGTTGTAACACCGAAAAAAGCCAATGTAGCTACAATTGTGTAGAATAAAAGTGATTACTTCCTTAACAAGAATGTTTTAATAACGAATTCGAATTCCACCTCTTCATAAAAGAAATTATCAGTATACGGAGACAAAAACCAACTTGTCATAGATGTGGAGTTGAGTATATATTATCGCATTAGCTCACTTATGATTATTTTAAAGTAAGCAATATCGATCCCTAACACTTACTGATGAATACCTACTGTTTCATTTGCAACCTATTATTTGTCATCAAAAGCACAAAGTGGATAGGACACACAAAATTCTGATTTTTATCACTAGTTGTGTTCTAATGAACTAGACGCATCTCGCAACTAAAAAGTGAATCGTACTTAAGTACTGAGGTACTAATAATAAATAGATTTATTCAATATTATTTGTAAGGTAGAACAAGCACAACATAACCAACAGATCTGCAGCTAAGAGTGCTAGTGCAGTTGTGATAGGCGAACAAATTTCATGATATTTCATCATGAAAGTGATTGGTTGTCATTTTTCTAAAAATATATTCAGCATTCATTTTTCTAACAACAATATATAGCTTTATTTTTCTGTGAGATTTTGTTGAGTTACATCGGACTCATCACCCAGTGTACGCCTTGAGGACGAATTCACCTTCGTTAAATCAAGATTAACATCCTAAAAAGTCGGCCAATTTACACAAAATAGCACCTTAAAAATCTAAATATTTACATCACGAATAAATGATCTTTAGAAAATCTTACTATCACGTTTGACCAGAATATATGTTCATAAAGGGACATGTCAATTTACTTTAAACTATGTATTTATGTAACGGTTATCGGTGATATCCTAAATTACCGATTCGAAAGTCGTTCATGTTGGGACAAAACAGACATTTTTGATCATGAAACGTTAGTCATTTTATTGGTTGAATAGTAGCTACGTATAAGATTTACTGATTACAATCTCATAGAAATCGTATCAGCAGTTGTGTATTATAGATCTCCTGTCCCTATTATAGCTCACATACTTGTTCGTTAGTAAATAAATATCAGCTTTTGTAAGCTAAACGATTTAGCATGCTTATGAAAATACATAAGTGCGTTCTATCGACCACGTTCAATTGTAAAATATATACTGGTCTAGATCAGTCAGAAGCTGTTCATTATAAATCAAAAAGTACTCTGAGAAGTATTCTAAAAGGTGCCTAATCGTTAAGTTGACTAAAAAATTGATAGATGAGACATTCAACAATAATCTTTTCTATCTTCTAGCTCATAATTAAAACCAAATATGATATTGAGAAAATTTTCGTTCAAACTTAAACATGAAATTGTTCCGTCCAATAACAAATTCGATAGATTTCAGTTTCAAACACATACTAGGCACATAATCTCATTATAATAATTTATCTAATCAGCACGTTTTATAAATCCACCATTGAGACGATTGCAACCAGGCAGCTGGATTTAATGAGCTACTGAATAAGTTTAGTAGGAAACGAATTAAGCAGCTGTCTGACGTGTGAACTTCGCTGGGATGAAACAACACAGGATACGATAATTTCAACATTTTTAGTTGTAGGTAGGAAAACTGTGAAATCACCAATGATCTCCGAGAAGATTGTAAATCAAAGAAACTCATGAAATAGCTTGATGAAAAACTGTTTTAAAGAGCAGTATTAGTATGTGAGTGAAAGTGAATTATTTCGTACAATTATTTAGTAAATCGTAATACTCCAGAGTTGAATGAGTGTTACAAATATGAGGCGAAATTTTCTGCATACCAATAACTTGCAATTTGAAAAGATATGTATCAATATAACAAATCATGGTAGTTATAAACCTCCAAACACTACGATGATGTTATTTTGATGAAGTGAGAATTTACAATAATCAACATTTCAAAATAGCTTGCCGACGATGACAGTACGAGATATATATCTTTTTTTCCATTCTGTTATGAGGTTTTCAACAATTAGCACTGATATGGTGGGTAATGTCTTAACTATTTTGAATGAGAGTAACTTGTAAAATTGGTTTTCGCCAATCGCCTATGAATTTTAACACTTATTATTTTTCCGTTAATGTTTTACCTATTAGCATGTTATTTTCTTAGAGAAAAAACGTTTCTGTTAAGCAGATATATTATCTTTTAATATTAGTTAATTCAAAGATCTCTCAGCCACTTCGTATCATTGTATATCATCCATCGATCAATATTCTGTTCATTCTTTTTAACAATTTAAAGTATGTTCGCTTAGTAAATCCTAAATGACAACAGTGGCGGCAGGCGAAAACTCGATTGTTGAGATATGAATTATATTGGATGATGCATTGAAATTCTTATTGTTCCAGTTCATGCAACCATACTCATCAATTCATTTCTCAATGAGCTAAAAATTGAACAATATTCAAAAACTATTTAGTCTTACTCAATTGCAGCTTAAAAAGAATGTATCATTGAGAGAAGTTTTAGTTCATACGAAAGTTTAGGGGTTCTAAACAATTAATTCAGAAAGTCAATGGTAAGTCTAAAAGTTTGAGCTGATTGAAATTGAGTAGAATCGTAGGTGTCTGAATTTTCATAAAACTAATCAGCCTCAGCTCTGGAATCTTCATCTTAATATTCTGAATGCTCAGTTTAGTCTACAGCATATTCAGCTGATCAGTCCCTTTAAACCACTTATCAAAGATACTCACGAAAACCATTGACAGCCACAATTACAGAATGTCGTTGCATTTCAAACCATGTGACAAATTTTCAGCTTAAAGAGGAGGGAGGGAAATCTAAAGCTTATGTTTGATTAGCCATCTGTTTTTTATTAATATGCACATTCTGTTCATTTTCTTGTAGCTAAACGTGGTCACGTTTGCCACAGTGAATGTTTACCAGAACTTGGTTGTTGGGGTGCTGAGGCTAATATGTGTGCTCATTGTTGTGGTTTAAAGGCTGGTGAGTATTGCGTGTCTCGATGTACAGATCATCCTGGCTTTTATGAACTTCCAACATCTTTCAATCATTCAATTCTGGGAAAGACCAATAATAATCCTGTTTGTCGAACTTTACCCTTAACTAAAAGTGACTTGGCAAAAATGGATGAACAAGCAATCATTGCATCCGTAGTCCCTTCAGAAACATGTGCCATCTGTCATCCAGAATGTGCTCAGACATGTTATGGTCCTAATGCAAATCAGTGTGTTGGAGAATGTAAGCACTACCAGGTAAGTTGCGAATCAGTAAAACAATTATCAATAGAACCAAGTAAAGCAAGTAAATGAAGCAATTTAACTGAAGTAAACTTGTTCAGACAATTGTATGTAGACGACCTATATTTTGATATAAGTAAATGTATGTTTTTCTAAAGACAATACAAGTCGAGATGTGAGTCAGAATTACACATTGGATAAATGAGATAAATGAGATGTATATCAATGCAAAATAAAAAAAAGATAATCTGGGGAAAAATTGACCAAAAGATTACAGACTTTAAAATAAATCAGGCTACAAACTTGGAGAAAAAACTACTGATCAATTCTATCTTAGATAGTTCTTTCAAAAATGCCTTAAAAGGTAAACATTCAATTGCCCAGTATTCCTTTTATCCAATTAATTTCTGAATATATTTCGTTTACTAATATTTAGTTGACTATATAGAAAGTTATTTTACATGGATCGACAAAGTCATTAAAAAGAAATACTTATCCTGTAAACCTAAACTTAAATGAAGAGATTAACTGTGGATAAAATAGGCTAAATCTGAAATTCCCCAAGATAACACTAACTTCCCCTTAACTTCCACTAAGTTTAAGTTTACGTTTTTACATTTCCTGTGTAGTGTTGTTTATTATGGAACCTAATTTTAGCCAGAAAGGAAAGTCATTAGGTTTTGCTTTTCAGAATTATTAGTATTTGTAGCTGCTTAATGGTTCGTCTATAAAAGCAATGTTTTTTACCTAACAACATTTATTACCACTATCAAGTTTTTTTTCAGCATGGTGATACCTGCTTACCTGAATGTCCACAAAATACATACGTAGATCCACAAACCCATTATTGTTTACCTTGTAATGAGTCGTGCAGTCACATACTGACCACTGGGAAAAATCACTTATGTAGTGGCCCAGGGAACTTTCTTGGCTTGGGTGGTTGTGAAACATGTTGGACAGTTATACAAGGTTAGTTATCAATATTAAATCTAATCTGGAATTTTTTGTAGTTATGCTTCCTTTAGAAACACGGAAATCAGTAAATTACTCTCAGTTGTGTCAAGATACGTAAACTAATTAAGGGTCTATCTGATTCATTGAATATTCTACATATTCATGAAATACTTCCTAAAATGGGCTTCTTATTTTCGCTTATATCCAACCATTTAGATAAGTTAGATTAAGAATATAATTATATATATTACATAGACACAATGAGATATTTGAATAGCAAATGCAGATTTTGTTGAGATCTATATAAAAAATTTGATATCTCTCAACAAATCATATGCTTTTGTTAGTTAACTTCACTAATCTTATTTAAGAAGCGCCTCAGGGAATAAAGAATAACTATTCTTTCGACATAACCAAATGTCATACACATAGTTCCCTTTATTATCTTAAATAGAGCAAGAACAAAGATTGGTGCAGAATAATATGAATTCATTTTATTTCGTTAGGTTCTCATCAGCTGCTTACAACCTAAAATATTTAAAATTCAACATTATTACAGATATTGACATATTTATACATACGAGTGTGATGAAGGATCAATACATGTGTATGATGATGTAGCAAGCAAAGATTCAGATAGAGTTAATGAGCTCATAAAATGTTTGATTCGAATAAATAAATAAAGTTAGAAAGGGAAAGTTCCAGAACATTGAAATAGTGATTAGAACTCATGAAAATAGATTAATGGTAATAAAGAAAATATGAATTGAAATCAATCAGTTATGTATGATGTAATTTATATTTCAGAAAGAGTTGCAATAATGACGTAATAAATAAATAAATAGGAGCAAATTAATAGAAAGAGTGAGGGTTATTGTTACCAGGGTAAAGAAAGATTTATTACCGTCTCTTTTTGTATACATAGATCTGGTTTTAAACGTTTGATTGCTAACGCTTCAGCGAATTTCAAAAGGTTCGAGTTTGATTGTTTGTTAATCACCTTGAAGGACTTCAGTATATCAGCTTTATGTCCTGTATCAAGGAGATGTCTTGCGATAGCACTGTTGAATGAGTTCAATCCATTCAATCTTAAACTTTTCGGAATATGTTCTTTGAATCGGACGTAGGCTCTCCTTTCTGTTCTACCAATGTAACTGCTTTGGCAGGTACATGTAAATTTGTATACACAGTTGGTGGTAACATGAAAGGGATACCTGTCGACCTTTGATTGTGTCAAAGAACATGTTGTTTTGGACAGGACAATCAATTTCGCTGCAGGATAGGTTCTTGTCAGTGCAGTTTTTAGTCTCATATTGATTGATCCTGTGACATCGTCACCTTTGAATTGAAGTTTAATAAAAATAGGCTTTTTATTTGCTGTAATTTCTTTCAGTTTTTTAACTTCACATTTGCCGTATTTCTCAATAAATTTCAGCGGGTATCCGTTATTCTTTAAACATTTTTTAACATTCATAACTTCCTCTTCTAGTGTATCGGAAGTACATATTCTTTCTGTTCTGTAAAACAGTGTTTTGACCAGTGCCTTTTTGTAACTGATTGGACAAAAGCTATTGAAATTAAGATAACTACCATTCCATGTGTCTTTCTTATAAACTGAACGTTGAACTGTACCATCTTTTCTTCTTTTCATCGCGATATCGAGAAAATGGAACTTGTTTTCTTTTTCATGTTCCATAGTGAAATGGATATTCGGATGTGCTTCGTTGAAAAACTCTAGCAGATTTATTGCTTGTTGTTTATTATTACATACGATGAAGGTATCATCAACATACCTCGAATAATACGTCATTTCATCAATCGCTCGTTTGAGTTTGGTTCTTTCGAGGTTAGCCATGAAAATATCTGCTAGGACAGGACCTAACGGACTTCCCATCGCTACACCATCGGTTTGTTTGTATATGATATCGTTGAACTGGAACTGAACATCTTTTGTACAAATGAGTAATAGTCGTTTGAATTCTGGTACTGGTAGAGGTAGGATGTCAGAATGTTGACAAATTATGTCTATGGTCTCAAGAAGTGGTATTTTTGTAAACAAAGATGTTACATCAAAAGAAACCATAAACTTATCAGCAATATTTATGTGATTCATGCTGTCAGCAAATACAAATGAATCCTTTAGCGTATAGGTGGCTAATCGTTGACGCACTGGTTCTAACTTATCTGCTAGCCATCGTGCAACTTTGTGGTATGGTGAATCGATCATTGACAAGATAGGTCTAAGAGGATAACCTTGTTTATGTATTTTTGGTAATCCATACATGTGGGGCAAACGAGACCCACGAGGTCGTAGATTATTGTAAGTAGAGTTATCGATCATCTTCTTTTTCAGAAGATCTCTGAGTACTTTGGTGATTCTTTTCTCAATGGAATCAGTTAAGTCTTTGTTACTTTTCTCTAACTTGAATCTCATATGGTCATTCAAGATGGACTTCATCTTAAAAACATAATCTGTTTTGTTCATTAGAACAACACTTGAGCCTTTGTCTGACCGTAATATCATTATATCGTCATTTCGTTTAATATTTCGTAATGCTGTTTGGTGGTCTTTGGATAAAAGCTTAGACTGTAGTGCGGGTGAAACAAGATATTGGTTTGCAATATCGACTAATTTAGATTTAAACCAGCCTTTCTTTTCTTCACTAACTGGGTGCAACTCTTTAATTTGATCAAATAAATTCTCAAATTGAGTTTCTGTGTCGATTCTGTCGGCATGTGTTTTGGGGATATGAAATTTAAATCCAAGTGACAAGGCTTCTGTTTCTATCTGATTTAACTTCATTGTTGATAGATTATAGAGAAACTTTTCGGGGTTTTCCGGAAAGCCAAAACATAATTGTTCCTTTGACAGCGTCTTTGACAAAGTTACTTGGAAATTCTTGCATATTTTGCTTTGCAGATCTTGTATAAAGTTGATAAATTTTATGCGACATACGATACTTAGATTGTTGATTAAATCATCAAAGGCATTAGTTTCTGCCCTCAAACGTTCAATCAGTAACTTTGTTGATTCAATGTGAGATTTTGTGATGCGTCGAAGATTTTTAAGAGAAGGCGGAAGTTTAAATGAGCGTAAAGACTTTAGGAACTGACGTGGGAAACGGCATGACTTAAGACATTCATCAAAAAACTCTATCTGAATCTTTGCTTGCTACATCATCATACACATGTATTGATCCTTAATCACACTCGTATGTATAAATATGTCAATATCTGTAATAATGTTGAATTTTAAATATTTTAGGTTGTAAGCAGCTGATGAGAACCTAACGAAATAAAATGAATTCATATTATTCTGCACCAATCTTTGTTCTTGCTCTATTTAAGATAACCAAATGTAGTGACTTTCCTTTGGTGACTTGTTTCTTGATCACAAATGACGAAAGACATATCGATATAACTGTTAACTCTTGTTTTCTCTAGTTTCCAAAGCATATCACTGAAATGAATGAGATCCATATTCAGTTTCTTAGATTAACTATTTCTTAGTATTATTCCTCTGAAAGGAAACATGGTACACTGAGAAACTCTGTACACCCTCATCACTCATTACTTTCTTCTTCCTATAGGCAGGAGTTTTAGAACCATTGTAAAGATTTTGATGTATGATATAATATCGTTTACTGGGTGTAAATATCTTATAGTTGAACTTGCATCTCTGCTAGTTAACATAGTGTGTTCATCAAGGTTAGATTAGTAAACTATTGAACGATGACTCATTAGTCTGAAGGTTAAGAGCTCTTCACGAAGTCCAAAGAACCTGGGTTCGATCCCTTAGTGGGCCGCGGATACTCATTTATTAGGAGCCTTAGACCGAGACGAAACGGTTGTCCGTTACATCTTCATTTTCAATGATTGTCTAATCAAAATCAGTCTGTAATGTTGAATTCCGAATAGTTTGTTCATGCCAGATATTCAGGAAGTTTCGCAACTCAATCCCCAGTGAATCTCGCGGTGTTCGCACCTACACAGACTGGGACACAAATCAGTGTCTTATACACAGGGATATCATTCATATCCACTTCAATTTCCTTTTGGTTTTTCTAGGTATATATGAGCGTAAATTCAATGACTTTACACGACTTCAACAAGACTGTCAAATAGTATTAAAATAATCCATACAACTGAAGTTGCTTGTTTACTGAAGTTAATAATAGGGTGATATTTTTATCTGAGACTAACTTTACTGTAATAGTTAAAAGCTTTATTAGTTAATTAAACAGAAAGTTTGAATTTATTTTGTCACTAGATAAGACAACAAACAAATATCAATGTCTACCCGATGATTGTCCTCCCAAACACTACACAGAATCTTATCAAACACAAGATTTTATAAACAAAGAAAATATCATTGTATTTTCTCATAATCAAGTTAAAAAAGGTGAACTTGGGGGTATGATCCGTGTGTGTAAACCGTGTCATCCATTTTGTGATTTATGTACAGCAAACGGAACACATGCATCTATATGTCATAGTTGTACTCATTGGTGGTTTAAATCAGAATGTGTAGAGGTTTGTCCACCCGGTAGGTTATTTATTTAACAAATCTCAAGACATTTAGTCCTCTAAAACGTTTTCTTTATCTGTGATATTTTAATGTCTATTTCATTGGTTTTTTTTAATGTGTAAGTAACAAAAAAAGTTCCGAATTCAAGAACTGTTTCATCTAAAAGAGATTGATGCTTTTCGTTTAGAATATTTGATTCACAGCTTTGTCCGTTTCATAGAACAGTTATTTTTAGTGTGCACAAAACGAGTGGTATCATGAAAAGAATGAAATAAGAACTTATTTCACTACTTCACCAATCTGTCTACAAAATGAACGTTTCAATCGAAATAAAGAACCAATGCTAGAATGTATAACTCAGTCAATTGACCCATTTAACTAAACCGACAATAATTCATTCATAACCCATTCTTGGTTATCATTGCAAGACAGAAAATGATCACAAACGTATAACTATATGATGTAAAGTTGCACTTATACGGGGATGGGGTAAAACAATACAACTAGACTTGGAAAGTCTTATCATGTAGCTAATAGTTAATCAAGAGTGAACTCAAAAGTTTGGATATATGTGAAATGAAAGCAAGGAATACTGGAATTTTTTCTGAACAGTTTATTTTTTCAGTGACAGAATCTATTTTTACTTAGCACGGTGTATCGCAGTAATAAAGAAAACAATTGTATCTTTCAGTCTCGTGTGAATCCAGTAATATTTCGGTTCCTGAGAAGTCTGATAATTTATTATTATTATTATTATTAATGTGGAAAAAGTGTGACTAACTGATTCATGAATTCATAATCTTTTACGAAAATATGGTTCTCCACCAGATTTCATGCTTTAGTGATATGGGAAATCCGACTGACGAATTGATGTTAGCTTTACTTCAATACTCATCTTCCCTAGGATTTTTGTGCTTAGATTACAGATATGCATTAATAGTTCTCAAACAATAATTTCTATCAACTGCGTAATTGTTTAGATTTTACAAAAATCATATTCTGCATAACACTCTATTAATTAGATAAAATTCATACACTCCCAAAACAGCTAAGCTAATTCCCTTTCACACTTAACTCGGATAGCTAATAATTTGTATCTTCCAAATGTATTCATTGTTTTCCTACTACTGTTAAATTAAATTGTCATTTGAGAGAAAAGGGACTAATGTAATGACAATAATTGCAGTGATAATGTTGATATTCATAAAAAAATTGTTTCCAAGTATAAATTAACTGTGATTCGGTCAGTTTTGCTACTAATATCAATGAGTACAGTAAATTATGCTATGATGTTGCCTTCAAAATGCAAACGTGTACCCCAGATTGTGATAATAATAATAATAATAATAATAATAATAATAATAATAATAATAATAATAATAATAATAATAATAAGTAGAAGAAGAATAGCAGAAATAATAAAAAAAAATGATTTATTGTCTACTTTATTTATTAGAATTAAGTCACAAATAAAAATTTATGAATACGTCATTGTTTTTAACAATGCCAAATAAATAACATTCATCACCCCTGTTCTCCATCAGCTTTTTTGTCTATTAGCTGGCTTCACCTGACAATAGTTTTCTTATTTTGTTACTGTGTGAAGTTACTGAAAGCAAAGTGTGTCAATATTATTGGTGTATTTCAACACATACAAATACTGAATCTAAGGTAATAGCTAATAATATGAGAATATTGTGATCAAGCAACCAAATGGGACAAATTTGGTGTGCTAAGCTGGTGTATTGTTCAACAGCGAAGATAAAGACAAAAGTATCAAAACATAAAAAGTTCTTTCCTTGGTAAGAAAAGTGAAGAGAAAGAGGTTTTTAATTGCAGATTAAGTGGACGTCTAACAAGACTTTCTGTTTCAAATAAGTAGGAAATAAATAAATTCAGTTTCTTTTGGTTATTCATTATGATCACTAAGTCATCTAACGTGTTTACGATTTCTCTAAACACTCTCGAGAAGATACCGAATTCATTCACTAAATGGTTATCGCAAATTTCGTACTGAAATATGACCACATATTTAATTGCATGTCTGTTCTTCAAGTAACTTATTACCATAACAATTTGGAGAAGGAGCATATGAGTTTTTAATTTAAACAACTACATAATTAAACTAACTCAGAGTAAACGTCATATCAACGATTACAGTAACGTGGTGTCGCCACTACGTACTTGTCAGAGTTTTCCATTACTCCACTAACTGTAAATAAATCAATCTTTCTACTACACCAAATGAAGGACAAAAAAAGAATTTTTGTGAAATATCCATTTTTTACTTAAATGAGGAAATCACATTCCAAGCCGTTGAGAGGTAAGACTACAATTTATGAACGACCTTTGAGCAACGTTACAATGACCTTAGGATGTCCACCTACTTACTAGGAACAAATGCGAGTTATGTATTAATGTGAGGGATTAGGATTTACGGTTGAATGCTAGTGACAGGAATTAGATCTAATGTTTTCATCATGAACTGACATCAGCTATAATGCCAAAATGGTATTTAGCCAAACGAGTTAATGGATTTCGCGCCAAAACACAGGATCTGCTATCTTAAGTGTGATTGGTTCGTCCATAAATTATAGATTGAGTAACTCTACATTATGATTCACTATATTTTTACTCTTGAAGACTGAAGATAATTGATACAAAGTCATCAACATAGGTTTCGAATTGGTTGACACGGCGAGACATGACTGGTTTACAATAAGTTAGCTTGAATAATACAGTTGTATAAAGTGTTAGTCATTATATCAGTATCTCACTTGGGACATCCGTAAGTGTGAAATCGTGTGACTCTGGTTCGTATTCCTTGACAATTACTATTCACTAGTACATATTCATGGTTGCTTTGAAGTTAGAATTTAGTTTGCTACTATGTACAGTTAATTTTGTTTCATAGGAATCAAGTTAACTTGTCACTGTATTTGATGTATTGTTGCTTTTACCAAGGAGTTCAAATTCAATTCAATTTCTAATTATTATGAATTTCGCATTAATATCATTATTATAGCGGAAACATATTCACTAGCGGGATCTGATAAAGAGTCGGACAATGAAGAAAATGATTTAATTACTCTTAGTAACAATACCCAGTTCTCATCAAATCAATTAAAAGAATTCACTTTTCTATCTAACGTTTCTGCCACCACTAACGCTAACATTGATGCCAATCAACAAGAATACAAAACGTCCTCACTAGCAGCTCCAGTATTTCTAATTAAATTGAAACGTTCACAGCGTCGATGTTTGCTCTGTCATGAACAGTGTATTCAAGGTTGTTCTGGACCTGGTCCAGAAGATTGTGTTAAATGTAGAAATTATCAAATTATCTTGGATGAAGAAACGAATAAAGTAAGTTATTACATATCATACAGTTCTATCAAATAAGTTTAGAAATCCATCTGAAATAAAATTTTATCACTATAGTAAAATTTTTAGGAAGCAGGCACAACTTTAAATTAGATGGTGGTTAGAGGTAGTCAACAGGAAACCTTGGACCCGGGTTTCGTGCTACCTGGCACTCGTCAGCAAGGTGTACCTGTAATCTTGAGGAAACTGGTGCTCTCCGGCGGGTTCGATCCTGTGTCACCCAGCTTTACAGTCAGAGACGTTACCAATGAGCTATCCGTGAGCTATCAGTGTCGAGTCACCTAGACTGGTGGTCACATTGCAACATGATCGATAGCATTCGATCTGCACTAAATAAGGACTTGACACACATGACATTGATCACCACCCAGTGATCAATCAGTTGTGACAACTTTAAATATATTTCGTGCTTAATTGAGTGCCTCATAAAAATTCACCATAATTTTGATTCTAAGTTCCGAAGTATGAATGTTGTCGCTTACAATTGTTGTTATTATTCTTCATAACTGAGCTACTAAAATGAAGATTTGTTTACGTTTCAAGACCCATGTGAAAATATTTTAGGGTAACGGATATTAATGAGTCGAGTTTTTGTACGAATCGATCTTCTGAAGTTTCTACAAATTATTGCTACTTCAAAGTATAGAAAGCTTTCTAAATAACTCATGTAAATTCAATTATCAAATGGACAATGTATATTAATACTAGTAAAACTCCTAATTTCCCTACTTCTTTTAATGGTAGGCCGTTTATATTTCAATGAACAAAATAACATAAAGTTGCTGCAAGATACTTCAACAAGCCAAACAATTTAAATTCTGTAGTACCAACCCTTCTTTATTTCTATCCATTAAATATGTGGAGTTGAAAGTAACCTTTCTTTGGAATTCGTTATCACTAAGTGTCCTCATTATTGCTTCAACTGTCAGAACAAGGTGCGTATTTTAGTTATTATCCATCTTATGATGTAATATTTGATCTATAAGCCCGAATCTAAGCCTGATAGATGTTTCTGGAAGTGTAATAACTGATCTGAAAAATTTGAGATAGTTAAATGGTCATAGGCAATTCATTGTCTTCACTTTAAAAGCTGTTTACACGGTAAACTGTTCTTCGTTTCTGGATTTTTTTTCTTTCTTAGAACATTAAATTTATATCGTTCTATAGATAAGCGAGCTCATACTTAAGAAACGAATACATTTGGATTATAAGATAAAGAATTGATATTCCTATAAAAACTAATTAATCTGCTTCATGTCTCCTGTCTATTATTCGTTCATCCTTTGGAGACTGTTTCCACGATAGGATAAAGTGTTATATGACTTTGAGCCCCTAGCACTAAAGTCGGGTGCAATGCAAAATGTCTGCACTTAGCTATCCACCCCAATGTAAGCTGGTTAAGTAAAATATCCATAATGATTTGTGGTTTAGTTGTTTTTGTAAGACATTATAGTTTACTGAATTAAAACATTAGATGGAGGTGAAACTTCCAGTAAATATATTATATTATATATTATATATATATATATATATAATATATAATAGTAACATCTTTCATTTTCTTTAGAATTCTGGTCTCTTAGAGGTCAGAGGCATACTCTTTTTAATATATCAAGAACGGCATGTTTTACTAAAAAAACGAATCCAAAACAGTGTAACTTTATCTACCATTGTTCCTAGTTTAATTAATATCTTACTGTACTTGGTTGTTGTTTACTTCTGACTTCTTACTATTTTGTCTTAGTCCTGCTGTTGTTAGCCTTTTAGTGCAAATTAACAGTTGAGAGGTTGGGTATATAAAGTTTGATTTAGGAGGAAGAGTATCCTAGCATAGTTGATGGTTTTTAATACTCACCAGTTGAGTGTATCTCCCTCCTGTTACTGACCAGATTTTTAATGGATTTGATTCATAACATTGACAAAATAATTTCCTCGGAACTACTTACATCCGTACCCCAAATCATAAAAAATAAAAACAAACTTTGTCAAAACCTCAACTTTTGTCATACTGAAAAGTAATCATTCATTCTGACTAGTTAGATCTAGCGAATCCGTACATAATCAACAACAACGCAGATTGTAAGGGAATGGCAGTTCCATTACCAAAATGTTGGTTTTCTATACTGATCATTCGCTTTATTGTTCAACGTTTGCATATTATTTGTTTCCGTGTCTTCTTACAATAATTTTAATATGAGTTACTAAATTATTTTAAAATTTCTAATACAGGGTGATCAATATGCAATCAATTACTTTCACAACACAAATTCAGGTTCTGGGAACTTTTCTTCTGAGTCTCATGAACTCCAACCGATGTTGTCCGTACGCGGGGTCCCTGATGGAGGTACAACGCCACACAGGAATAATAGTTTACACCGTCATCATACTATGTTAACAGAACCAAGTATGACTAGACCTTATTCTTCAGGAAAGCTACTTCGAGCTTTATCTGACCAGCCTAGTGAAAGATCTGATCCATTTTCCGTTGGTCAGACTGATGAACATACAGAAACACAACTTTTGCTACCCATTCGATCAAATAATGGTAACGCTGGAAACCATTCTACCTGGCAATCACGGCAGCATGGAGTTGGAACTAGAGGTTTGTCAAATACCTCTGATACAAATTTTTCAGGGCTAGGTAGAATATGGAAGAGATCAAATTTTCATGACAAAGTCAACTCAGATAGTATAAGTAAGAATAATCTCTAAGTTGGATGAGTGACTTCACGTTTACAATTTTCTTCTTTTGATCACAAACCATAATATACATATTGTTTGTAAATCTTTCGCCATGTAAACGAAAATTTGTAATGTGACTTATTTTAGATCCAACAGCGAATTATTTTTAACAAATCCCTGCCATTCTCATAGACTTGATGGAATGGTTATTTAACTTTTTACGAAGTCAAAAATGATAAGTTAACAATGGGATGATTCAAATCTTTTCTAAAATGATATAAATAGAAGGTCTGTTCAAGTAGATTAGTGATGACATTTTGACTCCTGTTTATGTATCCCCACCACATATTCTTACCTTATACGTGCTAGCAAATTTAGGCTTCAGTTTAGACATTCCTAAAACTTTAAACACCTGACATAAGAGAGATGTATTTAGAAAGTAGTTATCTGTGGTGATTTAAGAATTCGTTCATCAACTCATAAATTCCCTTTCAATATCATTCACTGAGCACCGCAAATAATATTAGTCAAAAACGTCAGAAAATAAGAAAACACATCTAGTTTTTTTGTTGGTTGACAGCTTGATCAACTTATTCACTTAGTGAATTTTTTAATAGCTCAGTAGTACACGTGTTATATTAGATACATTTTTCCCTCGTGAGTGTGAAATATGGATTGTAGAAGACCGGTGTTTAAAATTAATTATTAATTGGTTCGAAATATAAACCACTTATTTTTCTTCCTGTCTTATTTCGAACCAGAAACTAAGGTCAGATTTCTTGGCTGGCCATGAGTACACAGTTTCCGAAGATTGTAGTAATTTCACTGGGTTTTTCTTAATTTTTTTAAAGTAAACTAAACGACCAGATTGGATACAGAAAACTCTCAATTTTTCTTCTACTTTGTATGTGAAAAACTGTACACATTTGCCGAATTTCATTAGTTTTGTGGCGAACAAAGTATCTGTGTACTAAATACCTCAGTGAAAGCAACGAATAAATTTGGAGCTTTTTCAACTTATATAAACAGTTAATCGGTTTTTTAGCTCTTTGAAACCGAAGGCTTAATAGAAGAATCTTCATCTTTAAAATCATTATTACCGTTGTATAATATTGCAGTAATAACTAAGGCTCATAAAATGAAAATTCTAAGAAACATATTACTGGTTTGTTGGAATCGCCGTGAAAACTCTGTAGCTAAAGCAGTATAAAAAGGTGAATTCTAACTTAAACAGCTACTTCTTGTAATCAATTCAAGAACAATAGAAATCATTATACTAATAGCACCTAAACTGACAGTAAACTTTCGTGGATGATAATAACCATTGAAAAAGTATTTTTTAAACAAAATTTTTGATAATTACAATCTAAATGTATGTTAAAGAGAAATTTATTTCAATAATGCACAACTGATGGTGTGACTTTTCTGCAATAAATTTTTTTGTTATTAATACAGCTTTTATTGGTATTATTATGTCCTTCTTAAGCCTACTGGTTCAGTTTTTAGATATATAGGGAAGTTGTTTCAGAACTGGTAAACGTCCTTGGTATGCTAGACTACCTAATGTAATCTTGAGACTGAATGAGTTCGTTCCGTACAAACTCGGTCTTATGGATAGAAACTATCCTATTGTGCGACCAATGATCTTCTACGACGATGCTAATTGGTTACCTAAAGAGGGTGTGACTGTAGAGAAAATACTACAAATTCTAATCCGTCAACCATTCCGAGTCAGTTCAAAAAATACATGACGAAATACTTTAGCATACAGATCACGACCGACAACGAAACAAGTCGTTTAGGGTAGAAACCTTAATGCCACTCATAATTAACTTAAAGTGATTTAGGGATAGCATAATATATGTCAGAATTTATTGATAAAACTGAAACTTTAGATTAGGGGAATTAAGGAAACACATTACCCAACTGCTCATATCTACATAGAAAATAATGGTAATAATGTTTTGAAAAATGGGTTACCCAGACTGCTACTTTCCTTTATCTTTCTGGTTATTACATTTATTACGACTATTAAATCATTATTACTATCCCAGTATTTGGTCTACGAGAATTAGTATCTTAATGATCAGTTCTCATTCATATCAAATCATACAGTATATCAGTAATTTGACGTTAGATCAATTTTTAAATAAACGCAACAATTTACAGTTGGCATGTTATTTGAACTTTGTATCTCATTTTCCAACAGGTTTGGTAAAACAACACAAGGCTCCTTTGGCTTCCCGAGAGGATTCTTGGTTAAACGATATTCCTAGACAGTCAGATCATCCTGAATCAATAAGTTCTGTTGCTTTATCTGAACCAGCTACTGCTTCTACCACTACTAAAACTTCCGAATGGTCAGGAATATCACCTTCTTATAATAAATCACGCAATCATTCCAATTTTGGTGGTAAAAATTTAGAAGAAATGAGCACTAAATTCAGCCCGCGCACACATGACAATTCATCAAACAGTTTTAGAAAAAATACTGTTTCAGACTATCTGCTTGAGCCACCACCGCCACCGCCTGTACCACGTGGCTTACCAGATGACTATTTACAACCGAAGACTAAAAATCCTTCAAATATATCAAACGCATACAGTAGTGCGCCGTCAAAATCAATGAATTATACCGAATTGGGCCCACCGATGGTTACCAATGCTTCTACTACTAGAGGTTTGTGTTCAGAAATATAATACATTTCCCTATAACTTAGCTTCTATTGTAGATATACATGAATAAACTTGACTGCTTTTTAATATCCAATGTCAAACATTGCACTAGATTATGGTCTTACTATTTTTCAAGTCCACATCATATTTCCTAATTGGCTAATTTCAATGAATGCTAAGATTAGTATACCACTGGTTACTACCTGTTGATTATCTCGTTTACTCAATTCAGCCATTTAGAACTCTATTAGTAGCCGGAATACCTTGAGCTCAAAGTCTTTAGCATTGTTTAATAACTTGGTTGTTTCGTTAACACAAGCTTGCTCTATGATTTAGTTACTCCTAACTGGGAAGAAAATCATTTAATAAACCATCTGTACAATTTCTTTTACTGCGTTTTCCTATTCAATATAGAACGACACTATTTATCATATACATGGTTAACTTGCAATTAATTCAGCCTGAAAGGAACTTGTAATCTTGTAGAGCCAAAGAAATGTCACTGAATCCTGACCAAATTATCCGGCAGTCTGGTCAATGAATGCCGAACAGTCCATTGATCCGCCTCAGGGTCAAAAACAACTGGCGCGTGTCAATTAATCACACACCATGGACTGGCCCATACAGTGGTGGTCACAATTTCTTCCTTGTACCTACTGTTACTGATATATTTCTATATTAACCTTTGTGTTGTACGGCCATCGAACTAGCCATGGTAACTGGATACGACGAAAGGGTAATCCACGTTAGGTTCTGAACACGAAGTGTGACTTCAAAGTTAGCTGGTTCGTTACACCATCCCCGTCTAACTCGAACAGGCCCCAAATCATTCAACACAGATCACCTTTGTTGGTGATCTACAATTTCATATATATTTAAAAAAAAGTAAATCGGCTTGAACCCTTAAACTAAACAGCTGATTACCCTGGTTATATTTGAAAACCGAAACCTGATGTTTGCTACCATGAAACCGCTTCATCTCTGATATATGACGGAGAAATATTTTTTTTTAACTTGGGAACATTTTTACAGTTGTTGGTATACTTCATATATTATCACGTTCAAATGTATAGGTTATCATATACTTAGTCCTTATCACTGTACTAGTGATGGCAAAACAGGTTTCTAACATAACCTAACAAATCACTTGTCATAAACATATATTGAATAGAATATAGCGAGATCAAACATAAAACAATGGACTTCCCATCTAATGTCCTACGCACTTAAGACATACGATATGATCCCGAGTCTCAATTAGGTGATCGACTAGGGTTTAAACAACAGTAAAAATCACCATTTTATGTTCATTTATAGTTTCAGAACTACATATATATCTCATTTTAGATCACAATATGAGAATTTTCCAAATTTGTAGTTTCATTTGCAATGAATTAGTGTAAAGTATTTGGAAATAACTGTACGACAATTGTAGACTCAATTTTTATGAACGTAAATGTTGACAGTATATCCACCAGTAAATACCCTTGTTTTTCAAATCCAGGTTTGAATGTCCGACAGTTGAATTGCTTGAGTCACTAATACTTCTGTGTATGACACAACTATGTAAATCAACGAGAAATTAAGTTCGCACAGTTGAACTAGTGATGTGTTGAGTTCTATGCTGCATTTGTTTACAAAGTAATTTTTGCTAAATTATTACACAATAAACCGAAAAGACCATTTCTGTCTGTCTCTGTAGACTTGATTTAATTTTCCTCATTTTTAGATGAATACTTAAGTCCGAATATGCAGCCACCAGAAGAATACTTATCTCCAATATCCAGTGGATTTAGCGTAACCAATCCAGAGTATTTAATGGAAACATACGGTCATCCACATCAATACCCAGAGCCAAATACATTAAAACAAAGCACAAATCCTGCTAGCGATTCAAATTCCCCGCTGAAATTGCAGGATAAAACAAACCAAAAGTAAACTCTATCCTGCTGCTTGTTTTTATCGTATCTGTTGTTACTGTGGTTTTTCGAAGCAGTTACTTTTTGCCTAATTAAATACATTTTAAAAACAAATTCTGCTAATAATATCGAATTTACTGTTAACGCCTCTATTTGTCAACTTTCGTTTTTATTTACGTTTTACTGCCCGTTTTGTTTATATATGAAATTTCCTTGGTTTCTTTTACATATTAGTGAGTCATCCTCGCTGGAATTATAGATACAATCGTTCCACTTTCTCCCCACCAGAATAGCGGAAAACAACAGACTATTCATTTTAAAATGATATAGCAGTGACACTGAATATCTGTTACTTCCTTCTATTTTCATTTTATTATTTGTCATACCTATAAAAACCAAATAAAGAATGATCAATGTGTAAACACTCCGGAAGTCAATGCACAAACATGTTTACTATGGAATTCGTATGGTTCATTCGTCGTGATGATAGGTATTGACATTTTTCAACGATTAAAGATAAAGTCAAGGATGAATGAAGAACAATAATACTGTAAGAAAAAGAGATGCATCTCAACATTCATTTCCCCTCCTTCTCCTTCCGTATTTTTAATTCCAGTTTATTGATTATATACAAACAGATACATACTGCCTCTTACTAGCATTTATATCAAAGTATTACTTCATACCATTGCTTCCTGTGTATTTCGGGTAATTCTCTTCTCAAAAAGCATTCAATTTATCTTGAATTATAATTGCTTGCTTATCTATGGACTCACTAAAATTGTTTGTTGGATTGTCTTCTATGCATCATTCGTTGTTCCCAAGATAGGCAGAAACCAGAACAATGAGGATATATATCGATATACCGCTTGTTCGCAATAAGCACTGTTTGCAAACACTGCCTTATAAACCAAACATGTTTTAGATGCATTTATTGTCAGATTCGACGACCTTTTAATGTAAATAGACATCATTCTTTTCGTTGTCATTTGCATGCTGGTTCTTTTTTAAACAAATAATATGAATACTATCTATTTTACATTCAATCCGCTATAAAAACAAATACTGAGGCGATTATGTTTTTGAAAACTACTACCTACTAAAATAATCCCAAGTAGCAAAATGAAGTTTGTTAAAATATTATACCCCAGGTAGGAATTTTCGATCAAAAATGACAATATATCTTACCCTTTGTCTGAATTGTCACATAAAAGTAGTATATGTACTGAGTGAGAATCAGTTATCATATGAAAAAATTCACAATTGAAAAGGAAGCATGACTGTGAATGGACTCACAGTGGTTTCCAATTAAAATTTGCCTACATAACAAACAATTAATTTAAGCTCATAAATGTCCGTTATACCATAAAATGTCTTAGTTATTCTCTTAATTACAAAACGCTTGGAAACTAAATAGTTCCATTATTTTAGACTTATCTATAACTAAGAAAACAAATGAGAGAGAACTTAGATGAAATAGTTTATACTGTCTAGTTTGATGCCGCATCAAATAAACAACCTACAATCGTTCTAAGAACATCTAGAAATCAAAATATTTATTTTTATTATAGAAAATAGCTTGATCAACGACCAACTGAAATCCTCTTAGTTTCAGTTCCTAAAATCCTTCAAGCCAATAAATGTAATTAAAGCAGTTAGTAGGGTGGAGAAGATAACGGATATTTATTTGCTTAAAGCATATTTTCGAGGGTATTTTATTTATTAAGCTAGAAAAACTGAAGCCACAAATTTTCCGAAAATAAATTTGTAAGGGTTTTTCTGTAGAAATGCTTCTAGAAAGACCATTTTTTAATTCACCCTTTGTTATAATTCTCTCTTATTATAACCCAGCTATTCTTGGACACCAATTCACTCGATAAGTCCCCGAATCAGAACACGGTTGAACAGGAAAGAGAATATATCCCAAATGACAAGGTTACATGGAAGTAAGAACCACAGTAGGAAAAACGTCAGTATATTTATAGTTTTTACATGAGAAGGTTCTAGTGTTCTCCAATTATCGACTAGCGCTGATTGGATAAGAATTAACCAACCAGTGTGCGCCAAAGCAATCGTGCATTGAGCATGCTTTAATTTATTTGCATATAATTATAAAACCAGAGAATTTCACGAGGTAAATTTTGTAACGTTTGCTTCCCACAATAACTAGATACTCATCAGTAATAAGTACTAGGTTAATAATCTCCAATAGCTGATAATACTTGTAACATATTTGATTCTAAACTACTTTCTTAAGTAGTCGAATTTCTCTACACTTGTGAGACAGTTATATGACTGTATACCAGTAAAATAAAAGTAAATCACATGAAATTATACTACGTCGTTATTTAGTGATAAATATATCCCAATTCTAACGTATTCGATCTGAATTAAAAAAACTTAGTAAAGTTATTGCATTGATAAACTGGTAAAATAAATAAACAAGCGCGTTAGTAGCATATCGATAAAGTAAAAGACATAAAAAAGTAAAATGAGTATAATTTATCGAGCTGCAAGCAGTAGGGTTAATGAAACCAATGACTAAATATGGTGTACGAATTTTCTACAAATACAAAATAATCAAAGCAAAACAAAGAGAAACAAAATTAAAATCAAAATGATAAACCAATAGAAAAAGACCATAAATTTTGTTCTAGAAATATACGAAATAAAGAAATAGTTATGATGAGTGCACTGAATATATATATATATATATATATATATATATATATCCTTTGTATGCAATGATATGGTAGGAAGAGATGTTGTCAAGTCACTGAAATCAAGCTAGTCCACGTGACATAAATGGTACACATAGGCGGTGATAACAAGAGTCTTGAATAAAACAAACTATTTTTGTAGGATGAACTAGGACTGGAAAAAATCATCGTCCACTCCAACACATATATCTGAAAAGAAACTGGGATCAAATAACGCTAGATTTGTTTGTGTTTCAACACTGTTCAACCACAATTCTATATCTTCATCAATTGTTTGAGTTTGATTGTGAGTGAAATCTACATTAGCTGACCAATCATGCTGCGTCGTTGTTTCCACAGTGTTCAAATTGCAATACTGTGAATTATCACAGGAAGTGGGTACAGTATTAGTTTGTACAGAATTTTTGATAGATGATGTAGATGAGCATTGTAACATTGGATCCGTCGAACCAGGTAAATCATAACCAGAATAATTTATTACATTAACACAAGCCCGAGTACCGGAATCTGTTATTGTATCCATGTTTAATATCTCCATAACTTTGAAGGAAACAAACAAAATGAGGTTTAAACTAAAGTACATAGAATTGTGACTCAAAACAAAAGCAATGTACCTGATAGTATGGGATAGAGGAAGCAATTTATATAAGACAGTAAACATTCTACAGTATGTATGCCTAGAAATTTCCATGAAACAAGCTTTCAAAAATCACTATGCACTTTGTTCTATTAATGAAAAACAACTCAGATTCGAGACCATTTACATTTTCTATATTTGACTGAAGGTAATGCTTCTATTCACCCACGTTTACAATCCATTTATCTTGCAAACCAGTTAGCTGAAAAGGGATAGATGTTGATGTATAAAATCGGAAATACAATAAAACCCCATTACACAAATGAGCACAAAAATAAGCTGTTGACGTTAAGCACAAATGGTGTACTCATTACGAATTTCAGATGTTTCGATGCGCAGTGAACTTCCATACAGGCAGCAAATTTATCATATAGAACATTACAGTTACCGCGGAAAAAAAGGATTAAGTAGTGGAAAGTAGAGTTAACAGATTATATGAAGAATATAATATCACAATAATGAAGACGTGGATGTAATTGATGAAATACTTAGCTGCTTTCTTTCGGAACAGTGAATTATTAGTATTATTATATCATACACATTCTACAAACTAACATAATCAGTTTTAGAGTTTTATTACTAGTCGTTTAACAAAATAGTTTAGTAGTACCTTCAAGATAAGGTGCAAAAGCAACAAACAGACTATCGTGAAATCTTAGTAAAAAGCCAAGAATTTACAGTGGTTTTAATAGCTCACACAGTAACTGATCTTGCGAAACTCAACTGAGTGAACTACGACCAAAATGTGGGAAAAAAGTATATTAAAAGTAAACTGAAAACGTCTACCCAACAACCGGAAGTCAGTCAGCAACAACGTAGAACTTCTTAAGTACGAACATCAGTTCAAGTTGCCATAATAAAATAGCACAGAGATATAATTGTCGATTCAAATCCCATAGTGGTAGAGTTAGTAAAAGTATAAGCAGTAGTCGGAAACATTAGGGTTTGAAGATGTTATTCAAGGAGTATAATTCAGTGAAATAAATTTGGAAAAAAAATAAGGGACATGAAGGATTCCGAAGAATAGAATTTGGGAGAACACAAGGAGTAGATGCACCTGCGCCATTGCAAATGATTTTGAGCCATGTCATTCAGGGTCTCTAACCATCGGTTGCTATCATCTCGCGGTCCCCAACCAGGTAGTCTACACCTACCAACATGACTCAGTCCACTTGTCAGTGACTTCATGGACTTGTGCCATGTTTTGGTCTGGCCGCCTCTAACTTTCTTCCAACCTACTCCTAAACCATTGAACATCGCACGTCGAGGCAGTCGGTCGTTGGGCATACGTAACACGTGTCCCAGCCATCTCAACTGATGAAGTTTCACTACTTCAATTGATTTGCCACCCTTACCTAGTACCCGTCTCCTAACAACTGTGTTACTTACTCGATGGTCCCAGGATATACGAGCAATGTTTCGAAGACACCTATGGTCAAATACTAGTAACCTACGAATATCTTCTACTCTTACCGGCCATGTTTCACCGCCATAAAGTAGGACGGAACGAACTGCTGCACAGTAAACACGTCCTTTGGTTGATAGACGGATATCTCGCCTACGCCATAAATGACGCAAGTTGGCAAAAGCTAGTCGAGCCTTCTGTATCCGTGCTGAGATTTCGTCACACACCAGACCACAAGGGTTGATGAGACTTCCAAGATAAGTGGAGCAGTCGACACACTCAACCACTTCACTCCCTATCACTAGTTCGTGTTTCGATGTAACCCAATCCTGAAGCAACATTTTGCATTTCGAGGGGGAGAACCGCATCCCGAACATGCTTGCATTGTTGCTTACGGTGGTCAGAAAACTGCATTTTGTCAGCGTCTTCACCAAACAGAACTATGTCATCTGCATCTTCTAAGTCAACAAGTGAATCTCCTGGTAGAAGTTCAACTGGAAATTTAGATAGGGGAAGTGTTATCTATAAAAACACGTCAAGGACAATGTTAAATAGGAATGGAGAGAGTGGACAGCCCTGACCAACACCACTTGAGGTAATCAATTCTGATGACAGTTCGCCATAAGCTTTCACTCGACTAGTTGTGTTCGAGTAGAGAGCCTTTATAATGTTAATGTACTTCTTTGGTACTCCTTTCAGTGACAAACAATGCCATAGAACCTCACGATCAACAGAGTCGAATGCTGCTTTAAGGTCGAGAAATACTATTATTGCTGGACGTCTGAATGTGTGTCTATGTTCTGGGATCTGACGTAGTGTGAATATCTGGTCTATACAACCACGTCCAGGTCGAAAACCAGTCTGGTCTTCACGAGCTTTAGTTAGGCGTCGAAGTATTATTGAAGCTAATATTTTAGACATTATATGAGTCAAATTGATTTCTCTGTGATTGTCACAAGAGGACATTTGGCCTTTTTTATAGACTGGCACAATCAGTGATTGAGACTAGTCAGATGGGATTACGTCCAGTTCCCAAATTCTACCTGAGACCTCAGTCAATCTCAATGCCAATACTGGACCACCATCCTTAAAAAGCGCAGGGGTAAACCTGTCGGGGCCTGCCGCTCTCCCTCGTTTCAGAGTGGGAAGACTTACATCAACTTGCCATTTAGGTTGACTGGAGATCGTGGGAAACCGAAGTGTGGCTGAAGGCCAGTTGAACTGATCCCTAAACTGTTCTAACCATCGATCCAATCTCCTGGATTTATGGTGAATAATGTGTTCATCTTTTTCCGAGACATTTTCTCTAAAAGTTGGAGTCTTAATAAAGGATTCCTTGACAAGTCTGAACAGTTGTCTGTTGTTGCTTATTGCCGTAGCCGTTTCCATCTCTGTTGTTTTCGCTACCCACCACTGTTCACGATCATTGCTGAAGTTCAAAAGGCTATAGCTAATCTGAAACGAGGAAGGGCAGCTGGTTTAGATGGATTAGCTCCAGAGGTCTTTAAGGATGGTGGTCCAATTTTATCGATTAGGTTGACTAATATTTTAAATAAGATCTGGGGATTAGACTTTATCCCATCTGACTGGTCGCAATCACTTATCGTCCCAATATATAAGAAAGGGTCAAAATCATCCTGTGACAACCACAGAGGGATTAGTTTAACAAACATAGTATCTAAAATACTGGCCTCGATAATTATCAAACGCCTAACTAAGACTCGTGAACTACAAACTCGAGAGAACCAAGCTGGCTTTAGACCTGGTCGTGGCTGCATCGACCACATATTCACCATTCGTCAGGTTCTAGAACACAGGCATACCTATCGGCGTCCGACGATGGTGGTCTTTCTTGACTTAAAAGCAGCATTTGACTCTGTAGACCGCGAGACTCTGTGGCAGTGTCTGTCATTGAAAGGCGTGCCTCAGAAGTACATAAACCTTGTGAAGGCTCTTTACTCGAACACTACCAATCGAGTCAGAGCTTATGGCGAACTGTCATCTGCCTTTGCAACCTCAAGTGGTGTCCATCAAGGCTGCCCACTTTCTCCATTTTTGTTTAACTTCATCATAGACCTATTGATGGAAATAACACTCTCGTCGACTGAATTCTCGGGTATTGATCTCCTTCCAGGAGGTCCACTTATCGACATGGAATACGCAGATGACATAGTCCTGTTTGGTGAAAACGCTGACAAAATGCAGAGTCTTCTGGTAGCACTAAGCAACAATGCCAGAATGTTTGGGATGCGCTTCTCTCCCTCTAAATGCAAGTTGTTGCTTCACGACTGGTCTGCGTCAACACCCGAACTAAGGATAGGGAGTGAAGTAGACGAACGCGTTGACAACTTCACTTATCTTGGAAGTCTGATCAGCCCTAATGGGTTGGTATCGGACGAAATCTCAGCACGGATTCGAAAAGCTCGTTTGGCTTTTGCCAACTTACGTCACCTTTGGCGGAGGCGAGATATCCGTCTATCAATAAAAGGACGAGTATACTGCGCGGCAGTTCGTTCTGTTTTAATTTACGGCAGCGAAACATGGCCATTAAGAGTAGAAGACACTCGTAAGCTACTAGTATTTGAGCACAGATGCCTTAGAAATATTGCTGGCATCTGCTGGGATCACCGGGTAAGTAATATTGAGGTTAGGCGCAGGGTATTAGGATATGATGGTAAATCAGTTGATGAGGTTATGAATCTTCATCGACTGAGATGGTTGTGCCACGTACTACGTATGCATGAACACTGATTACCACGAAGTGCAATGCTAACCGGTGTAGGGGATGGTTGGAAGAAAGTTAGGTGCGGCCAAACCAAAACGTGGCATCAGTGCCTGAAGTCACTAACTTCTAGTCTGAGCCATGTTGGTAGATGCAGACTACTTGGTTGGGGTCCGCGTGACTATCGTAACTAATGGTTGGAGACTCTTGGTGACATGGCTCAGAATCGATCACAATGGCGTCGGTGTATACACCCCTGTCTTCCCTTAAACTAAGAGATTAACATCACTTCATATCTTCCTTTCTACGAACTAATTCTTTCTTCCTATACTATATCTTTATTGCAATCTTCCTCCTATATATTACCACCTTTGACCTAACCACTCCTATGAATCCGGTGTTCATCTTGCTGTGCTAATGAGGTATGGCGACCTGGACCGATGCACATATGTGCCTGGTCCTACGTTGTAGCTGACTGACTGAGGCTTCTTATCAGGCCGCGCATAGGCTGACTCCGCTCTTCATCATGTTCCGAGCCAGACGAGATGAGTTTCCGAGCATCTATCAGTACGGCAGATGCTGATGAGATCCAGTATTTCTCACTCGCCATGCGCTTTACCATGCTAGCAGATATAAAAAATTCGCTGCAGGAAATGTAAAGCTGTGGGCCATAAACATGGATTTCGTCAAAAAAAGGAAGCCAAGTAGCTCCAGGAGTACCAGATAGCCCGAACCAACATTATTTCGTGGGAGAGGAGAAAGTCAGAAAATTTAAGGTCAGGGTCTAAACTTCAAGTCTTCAAAAAAAGGGCAGGTATTATGACGGGATGAAAAGTCAAAATTAAATTGATTTACTCATTATGATTTTTATTCAATATCAATTCCGTTTAATTTATTTTAATGATCACTCAGTGTAGTATTTGTTTCGTTTTCCCCATGACATTTTACTCTTTATAAAATACGATATTCTTGTATGAAATATTTTCCATATATGTGATATATTCTGATTATTAATCAAAAAAGGGTGTATAACCAATATATAAATGAGTGTATTTCCGACTAGACGGGATAGGATTACTCGTGCTTTTGGCTACTTGAGGAACATATTTCCCCGTTTCGAACTTGGACTTCTCTCTCTAGTTAGCGGGGCTGGGACGCATCAGAATAGCTAGCATATTGGTCTTTGGTCACAGAGTCTTTATTCTGTTCCCAGACTAGGTGAATTCGTAATCGCTTCAAACATAGCATTATGTTAAAAGATGTTTTTCCTTATGCTTAAAGTTAGTGTTTGCAAGAAACAGGTAGTTATCTGAGCATAGCTGCAACAGACGGTCGCCATTATCTGTTCTTTGAGCCATGACACCATAAAATCCACCCAGGTGTCTTTCCTTTTCGCTTAGTTTACCTACTCGAGCATTAAATTAAGAGAGCCTAACTTTTTGGAGGAGGTCGGAAAGCTTCCTGTAAAACTTATCTTTTACTCCATTTGAGCTGCAATCAGTGGGAGAGTAGACAGAGACGACGAAGAGACAACGACGAGTGTCCCTAACTTTCCGAGTCCTTATTGTTCTGTTTAGTTGGACAGCGCACAAAAAACTTTCTGCTGGGATCCAGTCTAAGAGAGCTAGTTCTGCCCTAGGACTCAATGCTATACCTACACCAGCGAGCCTGTTGTCCTATTTGGCACAGTGCTCGAACGTTAAAAGCTCCTACATGTAGTTTAGAGCGTGATTTCAGGGGACCAGGAATAACGTTCCGCGTACCCGAATCGTTTACATTAGCAGCGTGAGGTGATAAAGGAACGTGAGAAGGATTAGTCGTGGAGATAAGAGAGTTACTAAGAAGTGTAGGAAGGATTTGATTGTGACCAACTTGCTCTCGTGTGCTGATACGGGTATGAGAGCTGATGTGACTTCCTGGTCACCTACACCGTGGAAGGATATTTTATTGAGGAACCTGAAAAGGAAGTTGGATTAGTGTTGATCTTAACGACCTGGGAGTGTGACCGCAGAGCCCAAGGGACAACTGCTTGAGGCCGGTCACGCCCGGTCATGGACAACTGGACAGATATACATTCGCATAACTCTTTTTTTCCGCGTTTTTTCTATTATTTTTGTAATTGCTTCTTGAGTCGTAATTTCTAACAGTGTTGTCACACACTTCGTTTCCTTTTTTGTTTCAAAGAAATTTCACTTTATTCTCTCTATCACTCATAATCTATTAATGTTAGTTTAGCACCGTACAGATTCAATGTTCATAGACAAGTTCAGAATAAGAAATATATGACTAGGATATCAAGACTCGTTAAATTCTGGTGACCATCATCTTTGTTACAAATATATCATATATCTAGTAAGATTAGCTTGGTTTTCAAGGGACCTTAAGAAGTACGGTAGCCTCTACGTCACTCTTGGCTTGGTAAAGTTAGGTGATCTCCAATGACGTTACTTAGATGTAAGACTACGACAGTATGCCACTTACATTATTTTAGACAACCACACCAGGAATCCAAGTAGGAATCTAAGGATCCCAAGGATAACAGATAACAATAAAAAAACATTATTAAGCCTATCAGCGACGTGGCTCAAAAAGTCAAAACTTAGTGACACAATTGGCGATAAAGAGGATCTAATTGTCTACTGTTTGAAGCATTTTCATAAGGTGGAAATATTGAGTGAACAACGCTGTTACGCGTACGGGATATGTTAAGTCTATCGATGGGGTCATGAATTTTCATCGACTGGAGGTCGTGTTAACTATACCCAGCTATATCCTACTTAGATATGCTATCCTGGTTAAAGTAAGAGCTGAAAATATAATATGAACACTTACGAGGAGATTGGTTGTCTGAAATTTTCGCTTCATTCAGCAAACGATGTAAAGTTTGGCATGCAGTACTTAAATGAGTTCCAAGTGAAACAGTACTTTGTAACATAGGAGGAGGTGGTGTTTCAAGCATTCTGCTTGGAGTAAAGTAAGTACTGTGATCGGAGTGAGGATAATGAGTAGCAATTTCAGCATTTAAATTTTCCATAACATCGGTCTGCATAGCAGCGTTTTCACGTAGTGGCAGCAACCTTGCTTGAATTTCTTGATCCACACCATTATTTGAGCACCCAGTAAGAGAGATGTAGTCGCTCGACTGAACCGAGTTTTTGGTTGGCTTTAGTGATGAACAAGGGTGGTGTTCGTTGAGGGGACCCAATGTGACCTGTTTGGTCTCGTAAGACAACTTTCGTTCTTGTCTAACTTCGTAGTTATCTGAACATTACAAAAGCATAACAGTGAACGAGATCTTTAAAGACTATCAAAGCGATAAAATAGGGAAATATTATCTAATCAAACGGAACATTACTACCTCAACAGGGAAAAAAGTTAAACACTTCCAGTCTAAACATAAATACACCGGGGATACTCACTTTTAATGAACAGGTCTTTATAACAACTGCAACCGAGAAGTATGGATAATAAAAAAACACAAAATAGTTTACATTACACATCAAATAAATGGGGTGAGAACGCGAAAATGAACATTTATGAGATTATAACACTGAGATACCATCAATTTTTTAATAAGATATAATTTTAACTTTTATAAAGAACCGTTTGTCATGAATCGGGTATTAATAGATTTGATCAGAACTTACCATATACTGTACTTGCGTGAGGAAGATTGGCTTCTACTGCAGCATTACAGAAGAGACCACCAATGAATGAACTGATGTCATCCTCATCGGTGCATGTGTTCACAGACACAAGTTCGTGTGTCTGGAGTGTATGAGAGCATGGTTGTGATATAGTGATCGGTGTATATAACTGTTCAGTTTGTGTTGAGGCCTCCAAAGAAGAATTGTTTACAGGGACTGCGTAAAGATTGCAGAAATTTCCTAAATCGGGTTTTAAAACGACTGACGTATCGCTCGAATTTATTGTAGATTCAGAGAGATTAACCTTAAAGTGCAGGAAGATATAAGAAAATTTAATTTAATAAAGTGGATTAACAATAATAACTGAAATATTTGAACTTTATATCAGTACTTAAAGCTCAAATAACGTTACTCCTAATAAAGCTTCTCTAAACATTATGATAATTCTAAATCGCTACATGAAAAAAATTGTGGTTTTACTAGAATAGGATACTACCATAGATGACTGGAAAAGTATTAAAAGACAGTAAGTTTAACACAACAGCAGTAACTGGGCTCCAACAAGCACCTGAGTAAGGAATAGATCATTGTAGACAGCCTGGCCTCGATTCAAGAAAGATAAGATAGAGACAGCAATCAACAACACTCAAACAAAAGCAGGGGGATTCAAGGCACATGCTGAATATACAGAAGCAAACGAACGATTGGAAAAGGTTGCTAGAGCTGACAAACGGAAATATGCAGAAAACCTAGCAACCATAGCAGAAAAAACTGCAAGAGAAGAAAGTACGGAATGACTGCATGGTGCAGCAAAGAAGCTTACAGGGAGACATGGTACGCCAGAGTGGCAAGTTAAGAATAAAGCAGAAAACTCAATGACTGAGGAGTGGGGGCACAAGCGAACAGAGCACGTAGAGAAACTTCAACAGATCAGCACCACTGAATCCACTGGACATCGAAGCAACACACACAGATCACTTTATTGATGATGCCCCACCAACAACAGAAGAAATTAGTACATCTATCAGACAAACTAAGTGTGAGAAAGTGGCATGAGCAAACAGGATATCAACTGATGCACCAAAGTCAGATATAGAAATAACTACGAAAATGCTCAACATTCTCTTCAGAAAGATTTGGGGGGGAGAACAAGTACTGACGGACTGGGAGGAAGGATGCCTTATCAAGATACCGAAGAAAGATTTTAATGAGAGAACTATAGAGGTGTTATACTACTGTCAGTATCAGGCACAGTCTCCAACAGTGTCGTTGAACCGAGTGAGAGACCTAGCAGACGCCCAACTTCGAGACAAATAAACTGGCTTTCGTAATAATGGAACATGTACCGACCAAGTCTCGACACTACGGAACATTACTGAACAATCAATTGAATGGAACTCATTTATAAATCTATACGTCTACTTCCTTGACTATGAGAAATATTTTATACAAGTGAGAATTAGTTAAGAATTCCCTACAATGCGAAACGTGTACATCCCTAGAATTTTGATTGTTTGACAGCAAAAGGGTGCAATAAAAAGCATCAAGTAATTTATATCTTACCTGGACATTTGGATTCGGAAAGATTTGTGTTGAAAGTGTACGAAGAGCCGAAAGAGCACTTGTACATAAAAAGTTCATATTCAAACACCCCAAAACATTGCTGTTCAGATTTTCTACATTCACATCACTTACGTTAGGTACAGTAACTGGTAAAATAAGAAGTGGGAGAACTAATGGGCCACATGATCCACTAGGAGGGATAGGATTACGTGCAACATACGAGCTTGGGATTGATGTATTCTTCGAAGGCGATCTGTTTGGAGTATTTTCGACTTTAGGAATAGAATTAAGAGATAAATTATTACTGTGCCCACTTCTTCGGTAATGCTGAAGTAAGTGCTTTTTACTTGAATAAGACCTGAAACAAACTGAACAAGAATACGTTGCTCCACATAGTTTTTGATGATAGGCATGATATGAGGGAGTAGGGAAGAAATGTTTACATTTGTTACACTGGTAACTTTTCTGCATATGAACATGCTGGTAATGCTATAATATAAGAACATATTAATCAACAATCTCAGCATACCTGTTTTAATCTCCAGTAAGTGCTGAATCCACCGCCTAAACCAATATTGTGTTTACATGTAGCCACAGGGCAATGATAGATATAACTAACATTATACCTTTGCTTGGAATAAAATGCTACGTCTTTTGCATTCTGAAATAATAATACACATTAGAAGATGCAGACTAATATTCTACCTTCATGATCTTATGAGTTTTAATCTGATGAGCCCGTAAGTTAGCTTTTGTTTTCACTTTGATTCCACATAACTCGCAAACATAAGTTGGTAATGGTAATTCTGTTAGTTCTGATTCTGAAATAACTACATGCAAAACGCTCGATTCTCTAATAGGAAAATTGTTGACTTTTTGGTCGTTGTCCTTAGATTCCGAAGGGAAAGAACGATAAACCTCACATGTCCCCATAATCTAACAGAATAATGGAACAGCAATGACCACAAGTTAGGAGTCATAGATTGACTTACCATAGTTTATCTCAAGTGATCACTTAATTTTTTTAAGTACCGTGAACAAAATTACGAGCTTTCTCAAGCCAGAGAATATAAGTAGACAAAATTTTACAAATGTCAGTCAACAGTTATTCACAAAATGTTCTTATACCTTCTCAATCAAATTCTTGCTGTTTTTGACTTGGAGCCCCTTAAAAATTTTCAATACTAATAGAATAAAGGCCTATGCAACACAATCAGATAATAGGCGATCAAATGCCGGGCAGGAGTGGGTAAACTATTTATTCACCTTCCTGTATGCAAAGATTCTTAAGAATGTACATCCATCTCCTCAAAGCAGAAAATAAAGGAATACTGAAGATCAAACTCGGAATGACATAATGAAATAAATATCAACTAATTAAGTTGGCTTGCCGTGCTTTGAGTGGTAGCTATGCGAGAGCTACGGGCAAACCATACACCAGGGGCTGATGGGAAGAGTTGCCATCTTATGTTGCTGTATTTCGTATTATCACGAAAGCCGTAAGTGTTTACAGACAACTATTCAACAAGACGCTCACGACCCAGTGGTAAGAGACCATCAGTAATAATCTGCTTTAGCAGGGAAAACTTAGCTTCTAGTTGAGGGGGGAAATTAGGGAAAAACTCTGGAGGTGGATAAGATTAAGGACACTATAAAACTACATCACAAAACAAGACTCGACATGGAATCCTCAAGACAGGAGAAAACGATGAAGACCAAAAACATGTGAAACTGAGAACCAAAGACAAATATCAAGACCATGAATAGCACTTGGCAACAACTCTGAAAGAAAGTTCAGGATATAGTTAGTTAGGGATCTCTGGTTGATGACCTAAGCCATACGAAGATTAAATGGTCGAGGCGACCTCTAGTTAACTTGTGAGTGAAGCTGACCTCTGGTTCTGCTGGATTCAGATAGGTCTTCCACAGCATTATACGTAATAACTCCAAACTTAATGTATCTTCAGTAGGCTAACTCAAAACCGAATTAAAACTTAACTGCACATAGTACGATGAAAAGGGAGGTGTCGCACTATCTTTCTACGACGGACGAAAAAGGAGACTTCGTAGTCAATTTATTAAACCCTTCCTGTCTTAAGGAATGTCCACTTTATTTCTCTCGTGTTAGCCCTTATCATATCTTTTGAGTTCCCTTGAGCAATTCACGGAACTTACAATCCTGAGGCCTTAAGATCGACTCGAATGACAAAAAAACAAGGAATAAACCTAGTAGAACCGGACAATCAAAAGCCTTCTTCATTCATATTAAACCGGAAATTTATAAATGTTAGCAATGCTTCACAATTCACAATAATTCTCCACAAAATGTACACAAACTCGAGATAATCATCAAAAATAACGCGGCATAATTATAATTCCAGTCTATTTCTCCTAGCATACCATTAACTAAGTAGAATATAATTCGGTACAGAAGTAACGTACTGCGAGCGACCAGGGTGGTTTTGAACTGACCGCCTGTAAACAAACAGCATCCAATTCCAGTGATATTCTTGGCAGGGTGGTATGTACACTATTTGTTTGATCCAATTGAGAATGTTTTTAAACTTTTGATCTATGCACCTCTCGATGACCTGAAGTATTTTTGCCTAAGCTCTTGAAAAACTGTTCCCTACTTTCAATGATGAACTATATTGAACGAAGAACATGTTCATTTTCTGAGTGAATATCGAACAAAAATGATAGGCTAGAATATTACGGCAGCTAGTTATGTAGCGGCAAGTAAATCCCAAAAATCAATAGCTCTGTGAGTCTCCAGCATTTGATTTTGACCGCATAAGTTTTACTAGACTCACCTAGCTGAAGGCGTTCGACCATTCAACAGCACCAGAAAATGAGTAAGTGAACCGTGTTACGCATCCTTTTGAACTATTGGCCAGTTAGACCAAATGTTCCTTGACATGTTTACTAATTCCAAAATATATCTTGAGACTCCTTCATTACTGACCTCTGACTTGAGCGGGTTGGCACCTAGAATAATAAGGATGTCAATGGTAACGGAGTAGTCGAACTCCGAATACTTGCGGCATAAAGATGGATTTCGTCAAAAAAAGGAAGCCAAGTAGCTCCAGGAGTACCAGATAGCCCGAACCAACATTATTTCGTGGGAGAGGAGAAAGTCAGAAAATTTAAGGTCAGGGTCTAAACTTCAAGTCTTCAAAAAAAGGGCAGGTATTATGACGGGATGAAAAGTCAAAATTAAATTGATTTACTCATTATGATTTTTATTCAATATCAATTCCGTTTAATTTATTTTAATGATCACTCAGTGTAGTATTTGTTTCGTTTTCCCCATGACATTTTACTCTTTATAAAATACGATATTCTTGTATGAAATATTTTCCATATATGTGATATATTCTGATTATTAATCAAAAAAGGGTGTATAACCAATATATAAATGAGTGTATTTCCGACTAGACGGGATAGGATTACTCGTGCTTTTGGCTACTTGAGGAACATATTTCCCCGTTTCGAACTTGGACTTCTCTCTCTAGTTAGCGGGGCTGGGACGCATCAGAATAGCTAGCATATTGGTCTTTGGTCACAGAGTCTTTATTCTGTTCCCAGACTAGGTGAATTCGTAATCGCTTCAAACATAGCATTATGTTAAAAGATGTTTTTCCTTATGCTTAAAGTTAGTGTTTGCAAGAAACAGGTAGTTATCTGAGCATAGCTGCAACAGACGGTCGCCATTATCTGTTCTTTGAGCCATGACACCATAAAATCCACCCAGGTGTCTTTCCTTTTCGCTTAGTTTACCTACTCGAGCATTAAATTAAGAGAGCCTAACTTTTTGGAGGAGGTCGGAAAGCTTCCTGTAAAACTTATCTTTTACTCCATTTGAGCTGCAATCAGTGGGAGAGTAGACAGAGACAACGAAGAGACAACGACGAGTGTCCCTAACTTTCCGAGTCCTTATTGTTCTGTTTAGTTGGACAGCGCACAAAAAACTTTCTGCTGGGATCCAGTCTAAGAGAGCTAGTTCTGCCCTAGGACTCAATGCTATACCTACACCAGCGAGCCTGTTGTCCTATTTGGCACAGTGCTCGAACGTTAAAAGCTCCTACATGTAGTTTAGAGCGTGATTTCAGGGGACCAGGAATAACGTTCCGCGTACCCGAATCGTTTACATTAGCAGCGTGAGGTGATAAAGGAACGTGAGAAGGATTAGTCGTGGAGATAAGAGAGTTACTAAGAAGTGTAGGAAGGATTTGATTGTGACCAACTTGCTCTCGTGTGCTGATACGGGTATGAGAGCTGATGTGACTTCCTGGTCACCTACACCGTGGAAGGATATTTTATTGAGGAACCTGAAAAGGAAGTTGGATTAGTGTTGATCTTAACGACCTGGGAGTGTGACCGCAGAGCCCAAGGGACAACTGCTTGAGGCCGGTCACGCCCGGTCATGGACAACTGGACAGATATACATTCGCATAACTCTTTTTTTCCGCGTTTTTTCTATTATTTTTGTAATTGCTTCTTGAGTCGTAATTTCTAACAGTGTTGTCACACACTTCGTTTCCTTTTTTGTTTCAAAGAAATTTCACTTTATTCTCTCTATCACTCATAATCTATTAATGTTAGTTTAGCACCGTACAGATTCAATGTTCATAGACAAGTTCAGAATAAGAAATATATGACTAGGATATCAAGACTCGTTAAATTCTGGTGACCATCATCTTTGTTACAAATATATCATATATCTAGTAAGATTAGCTTGGTTTTCAAGGGACCTTAAGAAGTACGGTAGCCTCTACGTCACTCTTGGCTTGGTAAAGTTAGGTGATCTCCAATGACGTTACTTAGATGTAAGACTACGACAGTATGCCACTTACATTATTTTAGACAACCACACCAGGAATCCAAGTAGGAATCTAAGGATCCCAAGGATAACAGATAACAATAAAAAAACATTATTAAGCCTATCAGCGACGTGGCTCAAAAAGTCAAAACTTAGTGACACAATTGGCGATAAAGAGGATCTAATTGTCTACTGTTTGAAGCATTTTCATAAGGTGGAAATATTGAGTGAACAACGCTGTTACGCGTACGGGATATGTTAAGTCTATCGATGGGGTCATGAATTTTCATCGACTGGAGGTCGTGTTAACTATACCCAGCTATATCCTACTTAGATATGCTATCCTGGTTAAAGTAAGAGCTGAAAATATAATATGAACACTTACGAGGAGATTGGTTGTCTGAAATTTTCGCTTCATTCAGCAAACGATGTAAAGTTTGGCATGCAGTACTTAAATGAGTTCCAAGTGAAACAGTACTTTGTAACATAGGAGGAGGTGGTGTTTCAAGCATTCTGCTTGGAGTAAAGTAAGTACTGTGATCGGAGTGAGGATAATGAGTAGCAATTTCAGCATTTAAATTTTCCATAACATCGGTCTGCATAGCAGCGTTTTCACGTAGTGGCAGCAACCTTGCTTGAATTTCTTGATCCACACCATTATTTGAGCACGCAGTAAGAGAGATGTAGTCGCTCGACTGAACCGAGTTTTTGGTTGGCTTTAGTGATGAACAAGGGTGGTGTTCGTTGAGGGGACCCAATGTGACCTGTTTGGTCTCGTAAGACAACTTTCGTTCTTGTCTAACTTCGTAGTTATCTGAACATTACAAAAGCATAACAGTGAACGAGATCTTTAAAGACTATCAAAGCGATAAAATAGGGAAATATTATCTAATCAAACGGAACATTACTACCTCAACAGGGAAAAAAGTTAAACACTTCCAGTCTAAACATAAATACACCGGGGATACTCACTTTTAATGAACAGGTCTTTATAACAACTGCAACCGAGAAGTATGGATAATAAAAAAACACAAAATAGTTTACATTACACATCAAATAAATGGGGTGAGAACGCGAAAATGAACATTTATGAGATTATAACACTGAGATACCATCAATTTTTTAATAAGATATAATTTTAACTTTTATAAAGAACCGTTTGTCATGAATCGGGTATTAATAGATTTGATCAGAACTTACCATATACTGTACTTGCGTGAGGAAGATTGGCTTCTACTGCAGCATTACAGAAGAGACCACCAATGAATGAACTGATGTCATCCTCATCGGTGCATGTGTTCACAGACACAAGTTCGTGTGTCTGGAGTGTATGAGAGCATGGTTGTGATATAGTGATCGGTGTATATAACTGTTCAGTTTGTGTTGAGGCCTCCAAAGAAGAATTGTTTACAGGGACTGCGTAAAGATTGCAGAAATTTCCTAAATCGGGTTTTAAAACGACTGACGTATCGCTCGAATTTATTGTAGATTCAGAGAGATTAACCTTAAAGTGCAGGAAGATATAAGAAAATTTAATTTAATAAAGTGGATTAACAATAATAACTGAAATATTTGAACTTTATATCAGTACTTAAAGCTCAAATAACGTTACTCCTAATAAAGCTTCTCTAAACATTATGATAATTCTAAATCGCTACATGAAAAAAATTGTGGTTTTACTAGAATAGGATACTACCATAGATGACTGGAAAAGTATTAAAAGACAGTAAGTTTAACACAACAGCAGTAACTGGGCTCCAACAAGCACCTGAGTAAGGAATAGATCATTGTAGACAGCCTGGCCTCGATTCAAGAAAGATAAGATAGAGACAGCAATCAACAACACTCAAACAAAAGCAGGGGGATTCAAGGCACATGCTGAATATACAGAAGCAAACGAACGATTGGAAAAGGTTGCTAGAGCTGACAAACGGAAATATGCAGAAAACCTAGCAACCATAGCAGAAAAAACTGCAAGAGAAGAAAGTACGGAATGACTGCATGGTGCAGCAAAGAAGCTTACAGGGAGACATGGTACGCCAGAGTGGCAAGTTAAGAATAAAGCAGAAAACTCAATGACTGAGGAGTGGGGGCACAAGCGAACAGAGCACGTAGAGAAACTTCAACAGATCAGCACCACTGAATCCACTGGACATCGAAGTGTAGGAAGGATTTGATTGTGACCAACTTGCTCTCGTGTGCTGATACGGGTATGAGAGCTGATGTGACTTCCTGGTCACCTACACCGTGGAAGGATATTTTATTGAGGAACCTGAAAAGGAAGTTGGATTAGTGTTGATCTTAACGACCTGGGAGTGTGACCGCAGAGCCCAAGGGACAACTGCTTGAGGCCGGTCACGCCCGGTCATGGACAACTGGACAGATATACATTCGCATAACTCTTTTTTTCCGCGTTTTTTCTATTATTTTTGTAATTGCTTCTTGAGTCGTAATTTCTAACAGTGTTGTCACACACTTCGTTTCCTTTTTTGTTTCAAAGAAATTTCACTTTATTCTCTCTATCACTCATAATCTATTAATGTTAGTTTAGCACCGTACAGATTCAATGTTCATAGACAAGTTCAGAATAAGAAATATATGACTAGGATATCAAGACTCGTTAAATTCTGGTGACCATCATCTTTGTTACAAATATATCATATATCTAGTAAGATTAGCTTGGTTTTCAAGGGACCTTAAGAAGTACGGTAGCCTCTACGTCACCCTTGGCTTGGTAAAGTTAGGTGATCTCCAATGACGTTACTTAGATGTAAGACTACGACAGTATGCCACTTACATTATTTTAGACAACCACACCAGGAATCCAAGTAGGAATCTAACTGGTCTTTGCCTCATTCGATCAGCCTTGTCTATATGTTCGTTTATAATTTGAAGATTATAGGGTTTTTATGGCTGCGTCACAGAGGATACTGCATCTTTTTCCCTCATTAGTCGAATCTTGTTTGGTTAATGATAAATATACTGGGTACCGTGATATGACGGAGTTGGAACTCAAAACCTAATCAAATACACGTATTATTCGTGTAGGTTAATGACTGTTTTGAATATATTTTTAAATCCAAAGCATTGCATACATGGGTTTACAATTGTTCTCTGTCTTAACTCTTAACCCAGAGATGATTATTGAAGTACGTACAGATTGAACCTGCGAGCTATCTGTAATACCACTACATATAATAATACTACTATTACTATCGCTAATGTCATAACTACTTCTTTGAATAATCTTACTGCTCATCACTGCAAGTTTGATATTTAACATATAGAGCTTCTTCAGAATCACCTAGTGACCTGACAAAACTCGACACTTCATTTTTAACGGTTGTGCTTTAAATCTTTTCCGTCATCAATTTTGAGATTAATTGAGGGTCAAGAAAAGAAAATACAATGACGAATAATGTATAACCAAAAAACACTCCGGTTGTAACATGTTTCAGATAATCCAGAAGTGCCAAAAAACAACTGAATGACTTACAATGCTAGAAGATAAATTCAGATAATAATCGGAGCCTAGTATTACAACTGATGTAGGTTAAATCTGAAAACCCCACCCCTTACTTTTATTCACAAATTCTTGTCACGTTTTAACTTTTACGTTATGAAGCTGAAACTTTTTCATTCCTCGATAATTCGATTATCCGCTCTACATTAGACGCAACCATAGCTCTCCGTCTCATCAACCTCTCTCTATAACTATAACACAGATTCTAAAAATCTGACTTCAACAAATATTAAAACCCGTTCATAGGCGGTAAGTTCGAATGTCAAGGACGCTTGTGCCCTACCCTGGTCACTAACTTCAACATGAAAGCGTGGAAGCTACGTAAGTTGCACTCATTGTTAGTTGTGGGGATGGCGTAATATTCAAATCATGTCATCTCCAATGTTTAATTGGATCCGACCAATTATCCCCTTGTTTTGACTCGATAATAATGACCAGAATCCATCATAAACTGCCTTGTAATAATTGTATATTGTTCGGTTCAAGATTCTAAATAGTACGCTATCGAAGAAGAAGACTCTCAGTGACGAGGTGGAGCATTTTCGTCTTTTTGAGCGTTGGCTTTTTAAGTAACATATTTGTGACAAAGTAGTTAGGTGAACCAGAAAAAATACTCCTGAATGAGAAAACAAGAAAAAGAAATAAACGTTTTTAGAAAGTAGCCGGAAGTATATCGACTTCTCATGAACGAATGCTTTAGTTTCGTCCTTCTGGGTATTCTAACCTTAAATCTAACACTCTAACTTTCCTATATTGCATGAGATACAACGTGATTTCAGTGGGCCTTGCTTTTTCGGACATATATTCACTGTCGTCTCCCTTGAATTTCCGTTGCAGTACTCCGTTCGATCGTCATGTCTCGTAAATATTGTGTTACGTTCTCATCAAGAGCTGTTAATATGTGGTCGACCGAATACCCGTTTTTCTCTTATTGCTACCTAAATGACATTCCTAATTAGTATCTGCGCTAACAGTGAAATCAACTACCTGTTCCTGAATTATTAGATGGTATTCTTTAGCTTAGCCACCAGTTCGAACCAATGTATACCCTTGTCCATCCGACTAGGGAAGACATCGATTTTAGAAGCACATAAAATATTCAGTTTTATTCATTTATTTTGCTTGAAATATAAACATTGGTACAAGTAGGTACTTCCTTAAGTAAATTCGGTAAGACTAATTTGTGGACGACCTTTGAGTGACTAAAGCGGCCTTGATAATATCCACCTACTGACTAGGGCTAAATGAGGGTTTCAAACCTATGTGAAGAATAAAGATTGTGATTTACATTTGATGTTTATGGATAAAAAATACATTTAAGGTTTCCTTTACGAACTGATATCAGAAAAAATGCCAGGACGCTATTTAGCCAAGTGGTTAAAGAATTTCGCACCAAAATCTAAGATCTGTTATCGTAAATCTGATTGGTTCGTCCATAAATTATAGTCTTACCGTAAATTCCACATGCTAGTTGGGATATTTTTAAAATATGTGGGCTAGTTTTAGCGTTTAATTGTATGAACTTTTTATTACTACCCATATCATGTTTGCTTGCTTAAATTTATTTATTTAAACATAGACATTTGTACGAAGAGGCACCAAATAAATATACGCGACACTTCGTCATCGGATTTGTGTGAGGGTTAGAATACTGCCCGTGTACTCAAACCGAAGCACGTGGTCTTCTTAGGAGGCCACACCGATCTGTCGACCGAAAGGTCTGATCCATAAGGCTGTTGAGCGATCTAAGGAGATACAGTCTCATGGTATTTATTTGAACACACATATTGACACAAGGGGGCACCAGATACATATTCGCCGTACAACAATAGTGAGAATGGGGAGAGATATCGAATAAAACGTGCATGTAAAAAGGGAAAAAGAACAATACCGACCACAGATTAGTGTAAGGTATAATAATAATAATAATTTCACAAGTTGAAATCATGAGCCAATTGCAGCTAGACCACCATGGAAAGCCTGGAAGCACTGGACGGCCGTTTCGTCCTAGTATGGGACTCCTCAACAGTGCGCATCCACGAACCCGCCCCCCGCGGGATTCGAACTCAGGACCTACTGGCCTCGCGCGCGAGCACTTAACCATTAGACCACTGAGCCGGCATCCAACGGGTGTTAATGTCTAACTTCAACCAATCCACGAAGTTGCGCCACCGTACACCATTGTCTTCAGTGAGTTGCTATCTCACAACAGACCTGGTTGAACTCCACTGGTAACGACTTCTCACTAGAACTCCAGGAGTTTCTCCTGAAGTCAGTCACTAGTGAGCAGGTGATTATTATTATCAGAATGGGTTTCGTGGAGATTTTTAGAAATTTCACAAGTTGAAATCATGAGCCAACTTCGTGGATTGGTTGAAGTTAGACATTAACACCCGTTGGATGCCGGCTCAGTGGTCTAATGGTTAAGTGCTCGCACGCGAGGCCAGTAGGTCCTGAGTTCGAATCCCGCGGGGGCGGGTTTGTGGATGCGCACTGCTGAGGAGTCCCATACTAGGACGAAACGGCCGTCCAGTGCTTCCAGGCTTTCCATGGTGGTCTAGCTTCAATTGGCTCATGATTTCAACTTGTGAAGTTTCTAAAAATCTCCACAAAACCCATTCTGATAATAATAATAATAACAGTAATAATAATGGGGGAAACAGAAAGTTACAACCAGATAGATCCTTTCAATTAAAGAAGTTACGGTCATTTTTCATAAGGAAGGTAAAACAAAGTTACAGCAGGATCACTGGCTTCTATTCTGAACCATATCTGACAACGTCTCTAGCCACTGTGTTGCACCATCTCTAGGACCCCAACCAGGGAGTCGTGAAGGACCAACAGAAGCCAGCCCTCTGTAGCTTTCTTTCACATCGCGACACCATATCATACATTGACTACCTTTCCGTTCTTTCCAACCAGTCCCAGGGTCAGCAAATAATGCTCGACGAGGAATTCTATGGGACGACATTCGTAGAACATGTTCAAGCCACCGAAGTTGACGTCTCAAGATAGTGACACTAATTCAATTATCGTCTGTCCCTCACCTATTACTTTATATTTTGACCACCCAATTAACGGTCAGTTTCAGTAGCATATTTGTTTGTTCACTTTCTTAATATAGAGGAATGTATCGCTCATTCCCCAGGCGCTGTTACTGCGGCAACTTTGGGCCGTAAATCTGGTCGAGTAATGGCCACTGGAGGAGAAGATCGCCGCTTGAAACTGTGGGCTGTTGGAAAACCTTCTTGTATCTTAAGTTTGACAGGGCATACATCATCCATAGAAGCTTCTGAATTTAGTCAAGAAGAAGATAGAGTGGCAGCTGGGTCTTTATCGGGTTCTGTCCGTATTTGGGATTTGGAGGAAGTTAAAAGTAAGCCACATTCAGATGACTGTTCCTATCTTCGTTTTCTGAAACGAACTGAAACCTAGAAGCGTAGTGAAATGATTCAATTTCGAAGGCATAAGATAGTTTGAAATGTTAACCCAGCCGAGGGATTGAGCGAAAAGATTCAATTATTTCAATTAGTATCAATATCTCAGTTATCACCTTCCTCGGTGCCCAAAAAATTCATTATTATGATTCAACTCAGTAATCAAGTACGGGTTTGTGTGTTCGATTGATTGTGAGGACTACAACTTTGTCGCTCAAACCGAAGTAGAGGGGGCGTGATTTGGACCTGAGACTCACTGGGTAACCTATGTATACTTTTACTACAGTGCATAGTTGTTCAGGCTATAATCAGTGAGTCAACTACAACGTAGGAATAGGCACATATATGCATCGGTCCAAGTTGCCACACATCATTAGCACAACAGGATGAACACCGAATTCATAGTAGATTCAGGTTCATATGTGTGGCTAAAAGTTTATCATCGTTGTTTTCGATTATCAGATACATTGTTACACTGCTTGTTCATGACTTTTCTTTTTTGACTAGAATATTTGTCTTATCTAAAGTTTGTAGAAGCAGTAACAGACAGAAGTAATCTATTTTACTTCTGAACCGGTAGATTATTTGGCATGCATGAAAAGTTTTATTCATAAGTGTTTTGCATTTTGATGACTAACTTTGATGCTCTATTTATAAGAGAATTTAGCGAATAGGAATATTTTAACGATCACACACTGAATCGTGTACTAGGTTATAAGTATGACCTACTATTTCATAGCTAACAATGAATAAGGTAATTTATATGTTTATCTATTAACAAATAATCATCCCAAGGATCTTGATTGCCATTGTCGTCGTTCAGAACTTTAGGCACTCATTTGTTCTATCATATCACAGGTCCGGATTCCATCTCATTTAGTATGAATTGGGTACCTGGGTGCTTTTATTTTATTCTGTACAATTAGCATTATTCACAACATATTGGGTGAGACAATGCTTGTTTGGTAAGCTTTGGATTTTTTAGGCAAAATAAGTCAGTAAGATAATGTGCATTTGAAAAGACTATCCTCTAAAATACACGGATTTATTTTAAAATTATTAATGACAGTAACTTCGTCGAACCATAATAATTTTGAGTTCATCTTACTAGTCTAGACGTTTTGGTTCCAGTTCCTATGGAGCATCCACAAAACCCCAATAAAGACCCATCATTCTGTTCTTTTGATATGTTTTCTTTGGTATGTACTTACAATCGAATGGACACTTACTTACTTACTTACGCCTGTTACTCCTCGTGAAGGAGCATAGGCCGCTCACCAGCATTCTCCATCCAACCCTGTCCTGGGCAATCCTTTCCAGCTCCTTCCAGTTGTAATTCATCCTTTTCATATCTGCTTCTATTATCCGACGTAATGTGTTCTTTGGCCTTCCTCTTTTCCGCTTCCCTTCAGGATTCCAAGTTAGGGCTTGTCTCGTGATACAGTTTGACGATTTGCGTAATGTATGTCCTATCCATTTCCATCGTCTTCTCCTAATTTCCTCTTCAGCTGGAAGTTGGTTTGTTCTCTCCCACAGAAGGCTATTGCTGATGGTATCTGGCCAATGGATGTTGAGTATCTTGCGTAGACAGCTATTTATAAATACTTGTACTTTCTTGATTGTGGTTGTTGTAGTTCTCCAAGTTTCAGCTCCATACAGTAGAACTGCCTTGACGTTCGTATTGAAGATTCTCACTTTGATATTGGTTGAAAGTTGTTTTGAATTCCATATGTTCTTCAATTGTAGGAATGCGGCCCTTGCTTTGCCAATCCTCGCCTTTACGTCTGCATCTGAACCTCCTTGTCCATCGACGATGCTTCCCAGGTATGTGAAGGATTCTACATCTTCCAGAGTTTCGCCATCAAGAGTGATTGGATTGCTGTTTTCCGCTTTGAATTTGAGGACCTTCGTTTTCCCTTTGTGTATACTGAGGCCTACTGATGCAGAGACTGCTGCTACACTGGCTGTCTTCATCTGCATCTGTTCGTGTGTACGTGATATAAGAGCTAGGTCATCTGCGAAGTCCAGATCGTCTAATTGGTTCTGAGCTGTCCATTGTATTCCGTGTTTTCCTTCAGATGTCGAGGTCTTCATAATCCAGTCGACCACCAGAAGAAAGAGAAAGGGAGAGAGTAAACAGCCTTGTCTGACCCCGGTCCTTACTTGGAATGCATCTGTCAGCTGTCCTCCATGCACGACCTTGCACTGTAGTCCGTCGTATGAGTTCCGGATAATATTGACAATCTTCTCAGGAACTCCGTAGTGTCGAAGAAGTTTCCATAATGTCCTCCTATCTACACTGTCAAATGCCTTTTCATAATCAATGAAGTTGATGTATAGTGACGAGTTCCACTCAACCGATTGTTCGACGATGATCCGTAGTGTTGCAATTTGGTCTGTGCACGACCGATCCTTACGGAATCCAGCTTGTTGATCTCGAAGTTGAGCGTCTACTGCATCCTTCATCCGGTTCAGCAAAACTCTGTTGAAGACCTTCCCTGGTATTGACAGTAGTGTTATGCCTCTGTAGTTTTCACATTTGCTCAGATCTCCTTTCTTTGGAATCTTGACGAGGTGCCCTTCTTTCCAGTCCATTGGCACTTGTTCCTCCTCCCAAATCTTTTTGAATAGAGGGTAAAGCATGCTTGTGGTTACTTCGACGTCTGATTTCAGTGCTTCAGCTGGTATGTTGTCGGGTCCTGCTGCTTTCCCGTTCTTGATTTGTCTGACGGCCGCTCTAATTTCTTCCGTCGTTGGTGGGTTGACATCTATAGGAAGATCTGTGTGTGCTGCTTCGATGTTCGGTGGATTCATAGGAGCCGGCCTATTCAGGAGTTCCTCAAAGTATTCTACCCATCTGTTACGCTGTTGTTGAATTTCAGTGATTGGCTTGCCTTCCTTGTCTTTGACCGGCCTCTCTGGTTTATTGTATTTCCCTGCTAGTTTCTTCGTTGTATCGTAAAGTTGTCTCATATTTCCTTCTCTAGCAGCTTTTTCTGCCGTCGTTGCTAATTCTTCCACGTATTTCTTCTTGTCAGCTCTAATGCTCCTCTTCACTTGCTTGTTTGCTTCTATGTATTCAGCTTGTGCTTGGACTTTCTCTGCTCGTGTTCGGCTGTTGTTTATTGCTGCCTTCTTGTTCTTCCTTTCTTTGATCTTGTCCAGTGTTTCTGTAGAGATCCATTCCTTATGATGGTATTTCTTTAGACCGAGAACCTCTTGACACGTTGAAGTTAATGCTTCCTTGATGCTTTTCCAGTTGTCCTCCATAGTAGTTTCTTCTTCTTTCAGTAGATCTTGTAAGGCTTGGAACCTGTTGTTGAGAGCTATCTTGAATTCATTGAGTTTGACAGTATCTCGAAGGAAGGCTGTATTGAACCTTTGTATTGCTGTTTGTCCACTTGTCCAGTTCTTTTTTAGCTTCAGTTTCAAATTGGCTACAACTAGGTGGTGATCTGAAGCTACGTCAGCTCCTCTCCTGGTTCTCACATCTTCCATTGTCCTTCGGAATTTTTTGTTGATGCAAATATGGTCTATCTGGTTCTCTGTAGTGTGGTCCGGTGAGATCCATGTAGCCTTGTGTATACGCTTGTGTGGAAATATTGTGCCTCCTATGACTAATTTGTTGAATGCACACAAATTTGCAAATCTTTCTCCATTTTCGTTCCTCTCTCCCAGTCCATGTTGCCCCATAATATCTTCATATCCGATGTTGTCTATTCCAACTTTGGCATTTAGATCTCCCATTAGAATGGTGAGGTCCTTTCTTGGGCATTTCTCAATGACTGACTGCAGCCGCTCGTAGAACTGATCTTTAATGTCGTCGTTGCTATCATTGGTGGGTGCATAACATTGGATAATATTCATTAAGATCCCCTCCTTCTTTGTTTTGAATGATGCTTTGATGATTCTGGATCCGTGGGATTCCCATCCTACAAGTGCATTTCGTGCTACTTTGGACAGCATTAGAGCAACTCCCTGAGTGTGTGGAGCATTTTCCTCTTCGTGACCGGAGTATAGCAGCATCTCTCCCGTAGCTAGTCTTTTCTGTCCAGCTTGGGTCCAGTGAGTTTCGCTGATCCCCAGTACTGCTAAGTTGTATCTCCTCATTTCCATTGCTATTTGACTGGTCTTCCCGGTTTCCCACATTGTTCGGACGTTCCATGTACCTATAAAAATTTTTGCTCTGGTTGTTAGAAGGGGCATCGGCCTCGTGGCTTCCGAAGGAACTCGGCTTTCACCATGAAGCGTCATAATTCTTCTAAATGAAGACCTTCTAACTCTCAGGGCAGAGTTAAAATGGTTTGAATTATTTTTTCTGGTAAGCGTTTTTTTAGCGAGTTAGTTTTCTACGGGATGGGGACGCTAACCCCATGCCCAACCCTCCTCCTTTACCCGGGCTTGGGACCGGCAGTAACTCTAGAAGAGCTACAGGCGGAGTTCGAATGGACACAATTAGAGGTAAATTTAGCCTGAAACTTGCTGGCTTTTAACTCCTTTATATGGTGCAAAATAATTAGCTTGACGGTTGGATAGCTTTTCAGTGTAGCTTTTAGTCTAAAATTAACCTATTCATCTTAAAGCTGTTATAGAAATCCAACCATTGTATCAATCAAAATACTCTCCATTCACTTTGTTCTTGTATTCGTACTAAACGATGAACTCTTATAGATAAATATTACTTTTTAATGTTATACATGGCTTAACTTGTTTATCAAGTACAGGTCTATGTATTCAACTTTCAAAGAATGGGTTACAGGTCTAAATCCCGCTCCATGTATTTTGATTTTGGCAGCCGAATAGCATCACTGAATCACAAAAATTACGGCTAAAAACAATTTATAAGCATGTAGTCGGCAAATAATTTACATTAATTATTAATGTCTTCAGATAATCATCCTGTAGTTTGTTATATGTGTATCCAAGTTACGCAATATCGGCTACCACACGAATACCGTGAAATTTATGTTTCAATAATTATGCTTATGTTATGTAGCCAAATGACTGGTTGCTTTTTACACGATTGTTTCAATGAATAATCCAATGTTAGTCTCATTACTATTTATAGTTGTTCGAGCCTTGTCTGGTCACACATCAGCTATCAAAACTCTAGACTTTCATCCATATGGTAATTTTGTAGCTTCAGGTTCTATGGATACCCTTGTAAAGGTGAGATATTTCCCATTACCTAATTGTTTTACTTATAAAATTTTCTAATAAACTTGTATATCTATGGTATAATCCATTTTGTTTACTGTTCGAACTTATTCATTTGTAGAAAGAGTTCAAAACTAGGTATAATAAGCTAAATAAAATGAATGCATTGTGTTGTAAAGTTCAGTAAAGAATATAGTGTGGTTTTAGTGTATGTTTGGCGCAAATAGGCTCCAGTATCCTGAGGGAACAAATGGCATATAAACCAACAATTATTCACCGGCTACCACGGGACTGCATCTCCCCATGATGCTCCACTGCCTTGTGGGTCAGACCTTTAGGTCGAAGTCTCCGGGTGTGGCCCACTAAGAAAACTACCTGCTTTTGGTCTGGGCACCCGGGCAGTATCACAGCCCACACACAAATATGATGAATTGCCGATAGTTATGGAAAATACTATTCTTGCTTCGATTGACAGTCAGACGATTCACATTATTATTATTATTATTATTATTATTATTATTATTATTATTATTATTATTATTATTATTATTTACTACGTCATTTATTCACTCTCTTTTATTCCCACTTTATGTATCCTTATTTTTCGACTTATACAGCAGATCTTCTTTGGTGGGAATTCAACTCTGTCTAAACGTTCTCGAGTCACTCTCCGGTTGAAAATCGTATGTTAACACCGAATATGAGTACTGAAGCAGTTTTTCTGAAACCACGTGCACCATTCAAACTGTCTGCCTTTAACATTCGCACACTTATGCAGGTCGGAAAACAGATAGGGCTGGCTATGTCTTTAGAAAGTCTTAATATCGATGTTTGCTGTCTATCCGAGACCCGTATTCAAGACTCTGGTGAAGTATTACAAATTCACTCTCTATCTGTCGCTTCAAAAGGCTTTCTTTACATGCGTTTATCCGGGGACCCTGTGGCATCTTCGTCTGGTCTTGCTGACGTAGATGTCGCACTGAGCGCTAGAGCTGAGGCAGCACCAATCGATTGGATTCTATTAACAGTCGGTTATGTGCTGTTTGGTTAGAAAGTTCCATCAAAGTGAGAAGAAATCGGCGTGAGAAACTATGTCTTTTCGTCATCTCCGCCTATGCCCCGACAGATTGCAGCCCGGATGCAATCAAGGATGAATTCTACTACAAGTTAACTGTTCTTCTACAGAAAGTACGTTCGACAGATATTGTAGTACTAGCCGGAGACTTGAATGGTCATGTAGGGCGTCTAGGCACAGAGGAGAATCGTTTAGGTGGCTCTTCCAACTCACCCGAGCCACTAGTAGCAAGAAGTCTGGTGTGAGTGAAACAATCTGTGAGGATGACGGGATGCCAATCACTAACATCCATCGACGTCTAGGACGATGGACAGAATTCTTCGAGGAGCAGTTCAACTGGCCTGGTCGATAGTTGTCCCTATCTTTCAAAAGGATTCATGTCACCTATGCAGAAACTATCGGGAGATAAGTCTACTTCCGACTGCGTCCAAACTATTGGCTTCCGTCATACTTCGTAGATTGTTCAGAACCCGTGGAAAATTGGTTGCGGGAAGCAGGCTGGTTTTCGTTCTGGTCGAGGATGTATTGATCATATCTTCACCCTCTGCCAAATGTTAGAACACCGTCATACAGGCCAACAATTGTAGTGTTTCTTGACATCAGGGCCGCCTTCGATTCGTTGAACAAGACTGTTCTCTGGGACTGTCTGTAGAAGAGGTATGTGCCTGAGAAGCTTATTAACATCTGGAAGGCTCTATATACAAATACCTAAAGCAGAATAAGGAGATACAACAACCTTTCTCCATTGTTCCATCCAAGCAGTGGGGTTAGACAGGGTTGCCCAATCTCACCATTCCTCTTCAACTTTGCCATCGATGACATTCTAGAAACAGCTCTGATGAATGTAAGTAATGGCGATGTGGATCTGTTCCCTGAAGAAAGAATTCTCGACCTTGAGTATGCGGATGATATTGTCTTACCGCGCGATAATACCCAGGCCATGCAATCCGCACTTAAACAGTTAGCAATTAATGCCCGTAGGTATGGTATGTGCTTTGCACCTTCTAAGCGCAAAGTGCTTTTAAAACACTGCTAGAAGAGAGCACTTTTAAAATCTAGGTTGCCGAAGACAACCAACAACTTATGGGTTAGTGTGGCACATATATATTTGGTGCCCCTTTGTACCAATATTTATGTGTTCAAATAAAATAAAATAATCATTCCGAAAAGTTCACATATCTGACCTGTAAATTACATATCACGTTACTGATAGCGCTCCCATAAAAGCAAATTCAACTTAAAGTACATTTTCATTGAAGCATCCCTTTCCTAAAGTACATGGTTCCTTATTTATTTTTAAAGTAGGTATCAAGGTATTTCATAGTTTTCAAGGCTCATTGTTCGTTTCAAATCTGTAATTGTCACCAATAATTTTATAACTCCAAGTATTTAAATATTTCGTAAACAAAACTTACTGTTTTGTATTAACTGGTTACTCTAATTTTCTCATCACTTAGCTGTGGGATGTATCTCGTAAAGGCTGCATAAACACTTACCGGGGTCATACTGGTTCTGTTAACATGATTCGCTTTTCTCCTGATGGGAAATGGATTGTTTCTGCTGGTGAGGATGGAATAATTAAAGTAAGCTGTTACTGAAATGTTTGTTAAAATAATATGAAACTTGTATACTTTTGTAAATAACTCCATCTTCCACTTTGAATTGATTGATGACTTGATTTACCACAAATGTTCGAATACATTAACTGTTTCAACCATTTAATTCAAACTTTATAACCCCCTTTTTTTGTTGAAATTTTGAGGCATATCTGTACCTATTCATAGAGTCAGAATTTTTAATACAAGTCGTCGATTAAGTATACTATTGTTTCTTAAAAGTGCATTGTCAGCCTCAATACAGAAATTGGGTCCAGATGAATACACCAAAGAGTCATTTGGAACTTTACATTGGTTGTTTGTGTGAAATAAACGATGACATACACAGAAATCTTTCAGATTACTATCAGATGTAAGATGGGAACATCACTCTATATTTGAAAGCTCTAGATCTTAATAATTTATGAAACAAAATATATTTTCAGAACATCCGCCTGTGATAAAATCTTTTAATATAGAGATAATCGATCAAGTTTATTTATTTTTGAAGCTATCGTATGACAAACCAGTATTAAAAACGTAGCTCTACCAAGTTATTTTGGTTTCACAAAATGAGACTAAAAATAAGCAGAGATAAATGGTGGCCAGCAGTGGAATCCAGGACGTGCTTTTCTTCCAGTTCGGGATTCGTAAGCTGGATGTACCTGGATCTCAGAGTTCATGTTCACTCCGGGACTCGAACCCAGTACCGTCCGCTTCAAACGCTGTCGAGTTATCCACTTACTTATCGAGTCTAGATAGCCACTAGCTTGTGCAATAGGGTGAGGTTTATTTCACTTTTGTATTGTTTGTTTGAATCTTCCCACAGACGTTTCGGACTGCAATTAATCAGTCTCTTATTGGCATGTGTGCATCCTGTACGGATTGCCTCGATATTGCCTTAAGTCACAAGCATTATAAGCATAGTATATCTGGATTTCTGCTTTATTAGAACGGCAGCAACAACTGCATAATTATAAGCTAAAAATATAACTACTCAAACATGAGTTCTAATTCTATTATGACTTATGACCCTACTAATTTATCACGTCCTTATTTATTTATTTATTTGAACACATATATATTGGTACAAATGGGCGCCGAAGACATATGCGCCACACAAGTTACTTGATTTGTGTGTGGGCTGTGATACTGCCCGGGTGCCCAGACCAAAAGCAGGTAGTTTTCTTAGTGGGCCACACCCGGAGACTTCGACCTAAAGGTCTGACCCACAAGGCAGTGGAGCATCATGGGGAGATGCAGTCCCATGGTAGCCGGTGAATAATTGTTGGTTTATATGCCATTTGTTCCCTCAGGATACTGGAGCCAATGTGCACCATTGGTCTAGAGTCAGGGTTTTCCAACTCCCCTAGGTGAACCCTCCATGTCCACCAACCAAGTTAAAGTGCCGGACATTCGCTTTTCGTCCTCTCAATTTCGTAAACAACAATAATGCCGCGAGGAGGCAGTGAGATCGCCAATTAGACACCGACTTATACAACCAGACCAATGACGCATAAACCTGTACGAGCAGTCTAGAGTTCTTATTGGTCCTCCGAGATAATAGCTTCTCACCTAACCCAGTCAGTTCGCGGCAGACCGCCAATATCAGCCTCCACTATACGAATCATATATTTCAGACATACTTGGTTTATATACAAACTTGAGAGTAGTAAGTCGTATAATATTAGTTAATAGGTCAAATAAAAGCTTATGATAACAGGAATAGAAATATACATATAATATAGTTAATTAATAGTTATCCAGTAAGATTATATTTTGCTATTCATCCTTTTCATGTCTGATTTCAATTCTCGACGTAGTATGTTCTTCGGCCTTCCTCTTTTCCTTTTTCCCATCAGGATTCCAAGTTAACGTTTGCCTCGTGATGCAGTTTGGTGATTTTAAAATCCATTTATTCATGATTTCAGCAGCCGTATCTCTTTTAAGTCCGATATTCATAAAAAGAGTTTTCATTTGGACCGTTGTTGCATTTTCAGGATTCTGTCTTGTTGTTAAGTTCCTATAAACAAATCTAGGTGGGTAACTATTTCTGATGAATATCTGTCGAAGTTAAGGTAGTTCTTAATCTAGCGTGTTACTAGAACATATCCGCCTTGACCTAGGGGATAAAGAGTGAATTTTCTGTCTTTCTACTCAATGTGACTCAGGTATGGAAATTCGTATACTGACCATTCCAGGTCGGTTTTTTATATATAAATCTCTGTAAGGAACCATCTGACCTTATTTTCAACCAGACATCAAGAAAATTCGATTCCTCGTTCTACTTTGCTTCCAATGTGAATTGACTTGAGTGATGACAATTATTGAATCAATCCAAAATTTCACTGGAATCCATATCTTCACAAATAATGAAAGTATCATCCACATATCTCCTATACACTTGAAATGAAGCTTGCTTTTGCGTACTAAAGATAAGTTGCACTATTGAGAAGTTTTACTCATAAGTAATTACATCTTAGATTGTTATACTAAATGCTTCTGATGAGAAATAAGTGGTGTAAAAACATGTTATTTATCTTGTACTACTCAATCTAGTAATCCGTATGTTGACGATGCGACTGTAACCCTTACTACTACTACTACTACATTAAATTTGTTCTTTCAACACCGTATATATATATACGAAACGTGTCGTTTTAACGCTAGTGTAATTCTTTTTTTACGAGAATTTGCTAAAATTGGCGTTATAACGATAAAGTGGTGAATTATGTCTGTTTATCACTGTGCTATTTCTTATTGCTGTTTCGAAATTTCGTTGGTTCTTACTTCAAATATAAAAAATCCCCACTTTGTCCTAATTTTTATTTCAACCAATAGCTTTGGGATTTATCAGCTGGTCGACAGTTGGCTGAATTAGTCGGCCATACTGGACCTGTTGTTGCAGTTACATTTCATCCTACAGTTCTTCTGCTTGCAACTGCCTCAGCTGATCATACTGTCCGTTTGTATGACTTGGAAAATTTCACACAAGTTGCCGTCACTGGACCAGAATTAAACGCCACTAATGTGAGGCGTATTGCATTTCATCCGGATGGTGTGTGTTTGTATGTGGCTACAAATGATTATCTCAGAGTGAGTTTGTGTCTAGGCATATATATATATATATATATATATATATATATATATATATATATATATATATATAAGCCTGTATACCGTTAGTTATATAGACTAGTCAACATTAACTCTTCGAGCTTGTTAAGTCCCGTAACAGAGTTGTATTTTCAACACACAAAATTGAAACTTTGTATTTGAAATGGTGTCTCTTAACAATATTTGAATAAGTCACTGCCAAAATTTTAGGATAATGATTAGTCACTTTTAATAATGAGTGCTTGCATGTATTTATTGCTATGAATTGACCAATGTCATGTTTTAGTTTACGGTGCTTGTCGATTCTCATTGAGTTAGACATACTGTAAATCAAATAGTGTACCACGGTGAACCGATATAGTTCTTTCCGTAAATTTGTGTATAATTGTTAGCGGGGCATAGACTGGATTAAAGCATGCTCAATGCACGATTGCTTTGGTGCACGCTCATTGGCTAATTCTTATCCGATCAGCACTAGTCGATGGTTGGAGAATACTCTAGAATCTTCTCATGTAAAGACTATAAATATACTAACGTTTTCTCTATTGTACTACTGACTTGCTTCTTACTTGCATCCATCTAACCTTGTTATTTGGAATATAATCTCTTTCCTGTTCAACCGTGTTCTGATTTGGGGTCTTGTCGAGTGATTTGGTGTCCAAGAATACTAAGCAATAGGAATAGCTGGGTCATAACCGTAAGAAAGAGATTATAACAATAATGAATTAAATTCTCTTGCTTTGAAATCACTTTGGTTATCGTTCGCCATTCATGTTCACCGAATGCATTGTGCTGTCTAAAAATTCAGACTTAACCAGAAGATAGCTACCATCAACAATACAGATAAAATAATTTAAAAAAATTTTTCCCTATATATTCTTCTTGAATTATTTGTCGTAGTCAAATTTAGGGTTATTTCCAGTACTCAAAGTAGCTTGTGTATGTTTTACAGATTATTCTTTAATTATAAAGAAATGATTATTCCCAAGCTCTGAATTGTCCCAATCCTATCTTTTCGTCTTATAATATTGTATTATCTGACCTGTCCTTGTATAATCAGTTATTTGGCTATTCATATTCATTTGTACTAGTGTACAAAAAAATTGCCAAAACATTTCGCATGCACTTCTTTATGGAAGGTGTTGAGAAAAAATCAGATTTATTGCAACCACTCATGTACACTTCGATACAGAGAAGTAAGACATATGTTTATCTTTTCAGCATAGGGTTGTGGAGACTTGAATTTCATCGAGTTTATAAACCAGTCTAAATTAAGCCACTATTTAAAGCCTAGAAGCAATGGACGGCCGTTTCGTCCTATTATGGGACTCCTTAGGAGTGCATATTCACAATAACACAGTCGGGACTCTAAACCAGGACCTTCGGTCTCGCGCACGAATATCTAATCTCTAGACCACTGAGTCGACATCTAACTGTGTGTATATATTTAGTAGTTGTTACATGTTAATTTTCCACACTACTGTTTTATAAGTTAGTATAATCTCTTTCTGTTCTTATATCATAATGAATAACTATTTATTTATCATAGATATATGATTACGAGAATATGTCTTGCCTAGAAACTGTACACGTTGGTTGGCGTGCTGGTGGCGGTTTGGACGATATGGCTGTTGCTCCAAGTTTCAATCAACTTGTTGGTGTATGTATCTCAAATTCGTTAATTACTACTTATGTTGTGGATGTGAAGTCTTGCATACCATTCACTGCAAATTATTCAGATAATATTGCCGAGTCAAATAAAAACGTTTGTGTACAATCAACTCAGTTGAATACCACCAGTGTGAATACATCAACCAATTACAGGGATAATGACAATAGTAATAGTATTCCTACTATCCATCCTGTACAACAGATATGTGGTAATAGTAATCTTGCCAATTATATGCAAGTAAGTTATTTGACGTTCTACTATGCTTCTATTTCATTAAAAAGTAAGATAGTTCATATATCTAATATTCATCTACAAATTTATCTGATGAACTATAAGCGTCACTTCATGAAATCTAGTAGTTGTACTCAGCTTCTTTAAGCGCTGTATATTGAAAGAATCAACTGATCGTAATCTCAAGGGTTGTGATCACCCTACTCATTATTGCGAAAAATATGTCACGTGTCGTTTGCACGTTTCTCACCTACTCTCGACTAGATTTTTTTAAGCTTATGTTTTTTACATCATTGGGTGAAGTTATTAGTAGTGAAGATTAAGAGTTCTTGATTCAATCTCAACAGGAATCTCAAATACGGATTATTGTACAATTAAACAATAGTTCCATATTTATTGAGAATTTTCAATTGCTATATAGCAGGAGATATAGATTGTTAGTGAAAACCCAAGTTAAAATTTTTTAAAAACTTTCTGTTTTGCATCTGTCGATGACTGTATAACAAAATGCTTATCTTTCCCTTCTCAAGCTCTTTTGTATTCTCTCTATCCACGTTTTCCCAAATTTCATTATTTCGAAAAACTGTTGATATGAAAAAAATAGATTATTACAATTACATTCAGGAGTAATACGTAGACTTAGCGCGTAAAATTTCAACCACTAATCGAATTTATCTCTTAAACTGGAAGAACACTGGAAATGTATTGATGCAGTATTCACTTTAATGAGGCTATAGCTGTTCAGCGATAAGGTATCAGTCAGCTTCAATCCAAGTTGTTAGTTTTTCAAATATCCAGTAAATCCATTTTAAAATCCAATTTTACTGAATTTGTTATATTTATTATCTAGTGAAAGACTTGATCGTTTCTAATCAAACTTATGTACACATCCTATTCATTAGATTGTGCTTGACAAATTTGCAGCTTATTGATTTAGATACTGAACTTTCAACCAAGTGGGTTATAGGTTTGTAAAGTTGCTTAATTTACCAAAGTTTAAATAACCTAGTAGTGCCACAATTCTCACACAATCTATACATAAACAGTTATCGAATTACCGTTTTTGCTCGTTTGTTTTTTCACATAGTAGTCCAATTCATTGAACGATAAACTTTTCTTGATATATATATGTATATTTATATGTTGGGTAGTCTCATATGTTTGTAATTGTAGTTGTAGTCCTTGTGTAGTTTTGCTATTTCATTGATTTCAGTATTAACTTCACTCTGATTTATCATATATCCTACAATTGTACTTAGACTAGTTAACCTATCTTGGTGATCAAAATCTACTTCTTTTAAAAAAATATTTGTAACACTTATGTATTTATGTTGCCATTTTGAAATAATCCATAAACAATACACCGTTGTCAGTACGTAAAATAGGTTTATTCAATTTCACAAATGTATTTCTGATGAAAAAGCAAATCAATCGATTGGAGATTTTTGGTGATAGGTAACAACATAAAGCTATACTCAAAAGAGCATCGGTTGAACTCACCATACTCCACGACAGCAATAATCAGTTGACAAAAATCAAAACGAAATACAAATAAGAAATAAGCAAGAAAGGTATATATGTATGAAAGTCATAGTATATTAGTACTAATGAAATGTTCAAGATTAAGATCACGGCTAAATATATGTGCCTTATTGTGATCGATTCTGCGTTAGTTCTTGTTGTAACGCGAAGTGTGACTGCAGGTTTAAATACGCAGCGTTATATCGATCGCTTCTGTGACAGTGACCCGTGACACGTAAACTTGTAAGGATGACCTAGTGCCCTGATTGGCCCTGCCTCGCTGTCTGTCCCCAGCCAGTTGAGTCAAGAACAAAAGTCACAGCCTCGGAGTTATGAATCATTATACTTCAAACATACACTATTTATATACCAAGCAAACAAACCACATCGTACCACAAAGTAGAAAATAACATTGTACAATATTGGCCAACAGGAAAATAACACGTTAAATAAATATCGACCAATGGGAAATGTACATTTAAGGTCCAAGGACACCAATGGACTTAACATCATAATTATTGGTCTATTTTTCCGACTACCTAACAGTTCTCTTAGATTATCCAATTCTCTCACTATTTATCTTATTTGAGCCTCCCCTAAAAGAACTGGACTTTCGGCATTATATCATGTGGGAAACAGTCTCCATTTGACCCATTTTAAACCATGTACTTTTCAAAATATGCACAGAAACTAACCTGTCTATCTGGGATCACTAACCAATCAGCGGTTTACCGTGCGCGTCATGAAGTTAACAACTAATGTCACTAAAGATGAAGGAACTGTAAATCGTAGTGTGATTTCTAGGGCTTTGTACATGTATAATGGCGCATATTTTGGTCGTTTGACGTTCACCTAAACTAAGCGTTAGAATTTCATCACATTGAGTCGATCATTTAAGTAATGCGAAGTAAAATATAGCGGTTGTACTTTTATATCAGATACCTTTATTTGAACAGTAGAAGAATAACGTGGATCGCAGAACAAAATAAATTCACTTCATTTCATGCCTTCATACCAGCTGCATACAGCCTGAAATTACATGGAGTAATATAATTATAAACCGAGATTTAACTTGCTATAGTCAGTAAAGTTTCAGTGAATGTCCAGAACGGAACCAAAAATCATAAGAAGGGGTATGCAGCTGATATAAAGGCATGAGATGGAGTGAATTTATTTTCTTCTGTTATCCACATCGTTCTTCTAATGTTCGATTTTTTCAAGAGAAATAGTTGCATGAGATCCCTTTACCTTTGAACAAATACGACTATTTCAAATTATTGTTGTATGCCATTCTAACAATTTATGTTATGGAAATTGCGCTGACAAAGCTAGGATAATTATCACAATTTTATCCGAATTTATGTCGCAAAATAAACTCTTTTAGATTCCTTATCCAGTTGACCAGTCAGACAAAGAAGCTAGTCACAAATGTAATACTAGTAAGATGTTTAATTGTTATAAATATATGGGCAAGTTCATTATGGGATTTAGTTTAGTTTTGTATTTAATTCAGAAAAGTATTTGTACACTCGTTACAATGTCCATAAAATTGTGCTTAATGCCTTTTCTGTCCAACAGAGTGATGAACGTCCATTTACTCGTTGTGGTTCATCTCCCTCAAAAGCTCTAAGTTCTATAGGACGTAAAAGTTTCTGCCTTGTCGCTGAAGAAAATCTTCAAAATGTTATGAGTGTGAGTTCCTAACTTTCTTTTATCCCTTTTCGGGATTTTATACACTAGATTTTTTATTGTACAATTTATACTCTAAAACTCAACTATCATATTTTCTCATTACATGGAATATACATATCATTTTCTGTTGGACAGAGGTTTATGTTTCTTAGCTAACTTAGCTGCAGATCATATGTTCTTTTTTTGTGTGGCCAGCGTATCTTACTCCAATTCGGATGAACGTATGACTACGCTATAAATATAAATCTTCCATTTAACTCCAAAGTGGGCTGGTAATTAATCTTGAAGTCATAACCCAAGAGTGTAGTTCCCCACCGTTTCAGTCTGTTTACTGTGTATACCGGAATTCCTTTCTTCAACCCAAAAATGGCTAGCAATGATTTATGGTCAGTTAATAGAGTGAACTGGCGTCCAAATATCATCTCATGAAACTTCTTTACGGCGAAGATGATCGACAACCCTTCCTTATCGACCTGACTGTAGTCACGTTCCGCTGCAGTTACCGATCTAACCGCATTTGATATAACTTTATCAGACCCATCTGGCATGATGTGAGAAGTAATTGCTCCAATGTCGTAGTTTGAAGCGCCTGATGCTACTACAATGGGTAAGGATGGATCTCAATGGGTGAGAAACAGATCCAAGACTAATATTTTTTAAATTTCCTCAAAAGCAGCTTGACAATTTGCGGACCAATCCCATTTTACACTTTTCGCCAGAGTGTTATTTAACGGGGCACGTAGGTGATGAAGGTTAGGAATAAAAGCTCCATAATGACTGACTAGTCCCAAAAAGGGATCGTAGTGTGAGGACATCCGTCGGTCTAGGCATAGTTTCTACTACCTGGGCATTCTCTGGATCTGGTCTTCTGCCATCTTTGTCGATTATAAACCCTAAGTAGCGTACCTTTACATACAAAAGTTTCATTTCTCTGCACGGAGCCGAAGTTAATATTCGGCTATACGCGACAGCACTTGGTCGAGCTTCTTTCCTAAATCTATCATATCCCCCCTCCCAACCAAACAAGTTGATGAAGCCTAGTAGGCCCTTCTGGAGAGAAACAGGCCACGTCAAAGCACGGAACAACTACCGGGGCTAGAATAGCTGTTTTTGCAATCCGTTAGATTTTGCTGTTGAGCGAGCAACATGCATCACTTTTGTAAACTTTTTGTCGTTTTCCAATCCAAATGTAATTGTGCTGTGTTTCTCTGTGGATTTCGTAATCAGATTGAGGATATCGGTAAGAGTGGGTGATTAGCCCGATCTCCACCACCCGGGTTACCGCTCACGTTAGTTCATGAGTCATTCGTCCCACTATCCAGGAGGCACGACGCGAACGTGTGAGTCGGATTTTGTCTCCCCTATCATATCTATTCTCATAATTATATCATCCAGATAGGCTGCAGCACCTGTAACATCTAGTAACATAGTATCCATAATACCCATTAATCTTGAGAGAAACATACTTTCTGCGGTTATGGGAGCTGGTTCTGTTAAGAGCTACCGTTACTTTCGCTGTTCGCGGCTTGAATCTTTTAGAATACACTTTCGGTTGACGATGTTTCCGGGTTTTGCAATGGCTTTCTTTGTGTCCTTTTATGGAACACGTAGTACAACGATGATTTTTAAACGGGCAAAAACTTTCTAAATACCAACCGCCACATAACCAGCATGGGGATGATGGTTTGTTGCTGTCATTACGATAATTGTGTGTGCTAGAACCTTGTAAGACTTTTCTCTCTACTGCATTGACGTAAAGGAACCGGGTTCTGTTTTCTACCATCGAGGTGTCGTGCTTCAAATCCACTAACTTTCGGCCTTCGCTAGTTACTTCTAGGATCATGTTGGGGCATTGTTCGAGCTCGATTAAAACTCTTGTTCGGATGTCAGCATCGTCGGCTGAGCGCAGGCTACAGACAAATACTAGGCATTTAAACTGGTCTTCTCTCATGGAAGACAACGTGAAACCCTCACATTCTTGGTTAACAATTCCTGCATGTTTCACCCAGTCATCTCCTGGTTCTTTCGTTATTTTCAAGCATTGGTAATGGATATTAAATAGAGATGGATGTTCTCTGAAGATTTGAGACTAGGTTTTAATTGTTTTATCAAAACTAAAATCTCGTGGGTTCTTTGGAAGAATAAAATCACTATACCGTTCATGTTCCATCGTCCCAAGTTTTCTTATAAGTATTCTGACTTTCGAGACGTCATCCAGTCTGCAGAGATCAATACGGAGCAGATCTTCATATTTTTTAAACCAAGAGTCAAAAGTAACACCTCCTACACCATCAAAATTAAATTCATGGATTGCATTAATGACTTAATCAGTATGGGATACCTGTAATTCATTAGAAGCAGAGTTTTGCTAGGATAGACATATTTCCTGCATGAGGGCCTCTATTATTCTGTTTTGAGACTGTTCAAACTGCTTCTCTTGATTCTCCATATGTGCTTCCAATTGCTCCAAAGAAATATTCATTGTAATTTTCCCCTCGTCACTGATAAGTTTTCTAATTGAATGCTAGCTTCGGTTCCTAAGCTCTTTAGTAATCCCCAGGCTAGATCTCCACAGCAACTTGAATATGAGAGAAAAAGTGCGAAATATGGAAGAAGCACTTTACTCCAAAGGTTCGTTTGTGTGCAGAAAATCCAGGGTTTTTATAGTATTTTTGATGGTCTTGTGTTTCAGGGAAATTCTGGAACGCTACTAAACATCCAATCAGAAAGTTGACATGTGACTTTTCACTTTCTAGATATTTCTGGCAAAATTTTTATGAGCGCTGATCGAACCAAATGCTCCTCAGTGTTTTCAGAGCCTTTGTTAGCATTTTTGAGAGGTTTTGTGGATCTCCCTAACAACTTTTGCAACGAATTCATTCTGTATGTTGAGTATTTTTCTCCCTGCTAAGCACATATATCTCAATCATTTGACCGTCTAATTGTTAATTAAATGTGACACTATTAACTAGCAGTAATATTGAATTTCAACCTAGAATTGGGCTAATTACACACATTATCCCTAATGGATGGCATAGTTATGCATTTACCCCTACGTAAAGTATATGTAATCTTGAAAAAAAATCATTTGATTGTTCTGTTAGTTGTTTGTCCGTTTTTAGACAAGGTGAATTGTTTCACTAACTGGTTTTGATTTTTTCTGTAACCTATATTAACACGCAGATTTCCTCTTCAACCGTATATTTTATTTTTCAGGAGGATCCTAACGATCCTGATGCACATTTACCTTATCAACCTACAACTGAGGATAGTGAATCGCTCAATGCAGCTGATATAACTGATCCAGATGAATATGATAGGATATTTAAACCACACCACACAGTTCCACGAAGTCCTTCTCAAGCAAGAGCTATGACTTCTAGAAGAAACGTTTCAAGTGAATATGGAACTGACGCAATCACAAAGCTAAATTTCGGTCTCCCTCCTTCATCACCAAACATTGTGAATCCCACACCCCATGAAGCAAAATGCGTCCAGTCAAATATCTTATCAGACAGATTCACTTCGGATAAACCATTTACACCTCCGAGTACCACTTCAGCTTGCATTTCCAGAAGACCTCATCAAACTACTATCTCACAAGCTGGTATGTTTTTATTTATTTCAACATTTCTTATCCTGTTTTCCCACAAATATTTATTTGGTAGGCAGAAAATACTTTTTTTCTAATCTTCCGACAAGCTTCTTTTCTTATATTAATTATTATTATTATTAATAGCTTTATTCAATATTATATTTTGGTACAATATAGAATTCTCAGCACAGGGTATTTCAACAAGTCACTTACTGAACAACGAACAAAAGGCAGTAGCGAATACATAAAGAAATATATAAAATAAAAATAAAATAAAAAAAACCCAAAAGAAACTACAAACTTTTAAAATTAAAGACATGTTAAGAATGTAAGTTATTGACTAGGTTAATTCTAACAACCTGTTCGTCACAGAGTATATTTGCTAGGTAAGGTATTATAGAACTTTTATACTTTTCCTTGCGTGCAGGGATTTTAATGTAATTACTTCTCGTTCTACCAGAAGATATACAAGGAGAAAGATAAGAGTGAAGGGGATGGCTAGTATCTGATAAAATAATACCTGCCAGGAGTTTGCATGATTTTAAATGTCTATGCACAACCATATTAATTATGACCTCGAAAGACTCACCACACGTCTTACTAACTGCCTTTAGCACTCTTCGCAATACAGCAAAGTCTTTTCTCAAAAGCCCGGGAAAGAATAATGGAGAACAGTAAAGAGTAATAGGTAATATGCAAGAATTGACAAATTGTAAGAGAAAATGACGAGTAATTCCAAGAGCATGCAATCTCTTTATGTAGTAGGTCAGACGGAAAACCTTCTTTGATAACGATAAAACGTGGGAGTTAATAAAATCTTCCTGACAAAAAAAGTTTCAGTTAAGAGAGATGGTTTGTAATTATTAATGCGTAGTCAATAATCATACTAGAGTTGGAAAACTGTTTTATTGCCTTCGAGAATTAAATGACTTCCCAGAAAAAAATTGTGCTGTTCTTATATCCCTGGTACTTATTGCTATCAGATTTATTCATATCTCAAGTACTTCTCCTGCACGCCTCTCAATATACCATTGATCAGTCTTATCAAATATTTCGAGTTTTTTTCCTGTGAAAATAAAAACAGTCAGTTGCACCCAGATAGGCCTACCTTACAATTTCCAACTTACAGATAATGTGTTTGGTGAACTCTGATTCTACGCAGTGTAACATAATACTGAATTAATATACCTTTTGACGATAAATCCAATAATCACTTCTTCGTATGATTTGTTAATTTACCAATTTATGTATTAAGATATAGTTCCAGTTTAGTTCTGAATTAGAAAGTTTAGTTGAATCAAGTGACTAAATTTAGGGTATCTGAGTGAAATAAAAAAATTTTGTTTTCAATCTTTGTTTAAGCCCGAATAATTTCAAATTCTCCACACCCACCGGAAGCGATTGAAGTGGAAGATTTTCTACCTGTAAGTTGTGATTCTCTAAGACACAAAATATTGAAAACAATCCTTACATTGTAAGTTTTCTCCTGTTAAAATATGAAAATGATATCCATGTATAAATATGGCGTTGTTACTGAATTATTTGGTGGTCATCAGTTGTTTTGCTAAGTCTTTAAGATTGGGTACTTGTCCTTTGAGAACTTTAAACTTTTTCTCGTAGACATGCTGGATTTTGTAATCACTGTTTGACATATAGGCTAAGAGACGCAAAATTTTATTCAAGGTCATAGTTCCTATACCTTTAATCCATCATATTTTTCCTAGTTTGTACAAATGATGATTTATAGTGTACCTCCTTTTAAACCTCATATTAGAGGGCCGAGCATTTAGTCATTATTATCATATCAAAAACCTGCTATGAAAATAACTAGTTCAGTGTTTTGCTTGCTTGGAATTCACAAGTACCTATTTGTTGTTTTGGCGTGAGAAAATAGTTATTTGTATCAGAAGGGGTTTTGTGGAGATTGTAGTAATTTTAAACAGTTGAGATCATAAGTCAATTGAAGCTAGACCACCATGAAAAACCTGGGAGCACTGGACGGCCGTTTCGTCCTGTTGTGGGACTCCTCGGCAGTGCGCATCCACGACCCCGCCTCGCGGTATTCTAACGGAGGACCTATCAGTCTCGCCCCAGGCGCTTAACCAACTAGACCACTGAGCCGGCATCCAATGGTGTTAATGTCTAACTTCAACTAATCCACGAAATTAAGCGACACATCCACCATTGTCATCAGTGAGTTACTACCTCACAACTGACCCGGTTGAACTCCACTGGTCACTGCTTCTCACTAGAACTCCAGGATATATATCTTGAAGCCAGTCACTAGTGAGCATATGTCGATTAGTATCAGAAGGGGTTTTTGTGGAGATTGTAGTAATTTTAAACAATTGAGATTATGAGTCAATTGAAGCTAGACCACCATGGAAAACCTGGAAACACTAGACATACTAGTGGATAGACTGATAGGCACTTGGTGTGTCACATATACATATATATATTTCTCTGCCCTTTGTACTTATTTGATTGTCGGTCTGATTGTTAACTAATAAACCTATTAGTCAGGCAAAGCACGCATTTTTGGTGTGAGTTGTCTTGATGCTGATTGGAATAGTGCTGGCTGAGTACCTAATATAGAGCGAGTGAATCGTATACACATATCACTCGTTCACTATTCGTTCTAAACAGTATAGTGTCTCATTGGTGTAAAGGTGGGAAGTACGAGCGTTAATTCATTATTTTATGCAGGATAGGACAGTGAATGTATAAATACGTGAATTTAGTACCATTACTATTCACGGCCATTCTGACTTCGCCTGCCTTGTTAAACTTTTAGCAATCACTGCCGACTATGATGGACTTTGCATTGAATCCAGTCCTTCAAAATATAAAAAACCCGACACGTGATAAATCTGGAAGCCTTCATGAACCATCAGAAGCAGAATTGTTATTGAGAATTCGTAAACCTCACGATCCTTTCGTGAAAGTCATGTCATCACGTGTTAAAGGCTTGTCAACTGTTCGTGTGATGTGGAGTCCAGATAGTGTGAAAACAGCTGTTGAGTCTGCATTAATGATGAATGATACTGCAATTTTAGTCGATGTTCTTGGAATATTGTCAAAAAACAGGTAAGTGTTTTAGCTCTTATGTTCATCTTATCATACTTTTAGCTTTTCCTATGATGACATTAGTTTATGATTTAGCGACGGCACCATAATCGCTCGTCTATTCGGAATTAATAATTGAATTCGTGAGTCGATTAAAGCTAGACCACTATGGAAACCTGGAAGCACTGGACTATCATTTCGTCCTCGTGTGGGACTCCTCAACAGCGCACGTCCTGATCCCACACGGGATTCGAACCCAGGACCTTCGGGCTCACACGCGAATGCTCAACCTCTAGACCACTGAACTGGCATCCAACGGTATTAAAGTCTAACTCCAACCAATCGTGAATGCACACTGCTGGGGAGTCCCATACTAGGACGAGACGCTCGTTCAGTGCTTCCAGATTTTCCATGGTGGTTTAGCTTTAATCGATTCATGAATTCAACTATAAAATTACTACAATCTCCACAAAACCCCCTCTCTGGTAATATTCGTAATTAGCTAAAGTGATGGTAAGTTGTTTCAGTAAGTAGTGAGAACAATTATCTACTTGACATTCTACATTCTTTCATTGTGTATCATCCAGACCTAAAATTCACTATTCAAAAGAAAGTAAATCCGTCTGCTTGATTTTTCGATTTGCTTTTGATGGGTCGAAATGATGAATTCCTAAAGTGACCCATTTATTGAAGATAAACACGGAATTGTCAACTAACTCTCTGTTAGTCAATTAGTGTCAGAGTTAACGTTTTATGGACTAGTGGTAAATATTTATTTTAAAAATGATTTTTGAAGTATGATGTTTTTCAAAATTTGTTGTGAGAATATATGCTACCAATTTAAGAAACTTTCTGTTAAACGATCGGTTCGTTAGGGGGTTTTTCACCTCTCAGTTGCTCAACGGGGTTCATATCAGAAGCAAAAAGATGAAGGTAAGTTCTCGTTTCGAAAGTTCGTTTGAGGGTGTATCTAATGAAAAAAATTCATTCGTATATACTAATCGTTTTTAGTACAAAGATCAATATTTATTTATTTTGTAATTAACTTGTTCGTTTATCTTTCAACGTTCATATTTTTGTGTAGAAAATATTTGCATAATCTATGCCTATTATACTTGGTCCATTCATGACAAATTTTATCTGATCCCTGATTTCTTGTTTATCTCTATTTATTCAGTTTACTGTTAACTTCTCAGGTACTTATGAGATTACATTGACTACTAAAACATCACTAAACTGTTTATTGTTAGGACAAAGGGCAATGTTCAACCTTAAGAATACTGTCAGCATAGCAGATAGAAATCTAGGTGGTATTTAGAGTTCTAAATGCACAATGATTGGTTACTGAGTAGTGACCTATACCATGTTTGTCTAGTTCTTAGTGCTGGACGAGTTTTATCAATCAGATTGCAATATGGCCATTAGACAAAGTACCCCGATATTGCTAGCAGCATATTTTGTTATTAGATGTCTGGATGAGACTTTGAACCCTAGATTTCTTTCCAGCTGGTACTCATCGCCAAGAAGTACCTAATGCTCCCCATAAGATTCTGGATTCGTTAGCCATGAAATATCATTTTAGAATTACTAGACATTTTTTTCATAGTCGTAATTACTTTGCCTGCTGCTTCTATGTATAGGCAAATGTTTCTTTCTGCTTAATTGAATGCCCATAATGCGATTGTGATTGAATGTTCATTTATTCGGTATTTTTTATTGTTGTTCAGTTTTGAGGACTGTCAGTTGGTATTTTGATGTCAATTTCATCATAAGTTACCACTCAACTACAATCATCAAGCAACCACCACTTTATTTGTTGTTTCAGTGGTCAACTCCTACAATTAACAACAAAAGCCCCCTACGATAGCAATTTTTTTCACTAAGCGGTGACTTTTAGATGTAAAAAAAGTAAAAGTGAATTTCCAATGATGATCTTTTCTGATGAAAGCTACGAATAATTGGTCAAGTATTATCCCTAAATCCATTGTGTAAATCTAATTCAGGCTAATTTAATCGTTATTTTCTTTTTAAGAGTTAGTAACCAAATTATTTACATAAATATTGATCTTTGTTCAGTTATATTAACAGGATGTTGGATACCTGATTACTAGTCATGTGTTGAGGAACTATCAAAGGAATTTGTAATGATGACAACCAGCAGGCATACTGATTTCAGTCGTCAATTAATTTTTTCGGATGTATATTGGTAAAGACTGTTCCTGTCTACTAATAATTATGTGGTCATGTAAATTTTGTTAATCAGTCCTATTATTTTGCGTTGATGGAACAATTCACAAATTCATCACTAATTGTACTCATTCCATCCCAATTATCACTACAAAGAAATTTCTAGTATAGCATACTATTCTTACAACAGTTATGGTATAGTATCAAATTAAATTATCCAATTATAACCACCAAATGGCAAACTATTTGAGAACAGTCTGTATCGAATAACTGGTTTCACTAATTATCTTAGTTATATACACGGAATAGTTGCTTTATTAGTGTTGACAAACTTAATTCTTACTAGTTACGTTAGTAGTTTCAAAATGTCTGTTCTTGTTTGACTTTATGAACTGAAGTTGTTATAATATGTTGGAGTCTAGTGCAAGCAATTAGAACGATTTTTCAGTGCTTTGAGTGATCTGATCCCATTCGCTAGTCCCTGTAATTGTCAAGAATAATTTCCAGTTAATTTTGTAATTCAGCAATGATATTTGTTTACTTATTCACTTTCTTATTAGATAAGATAATAACAGAATCAGTAGTTATTTTCATTACATGTTGATATTTATATTTAAGCTATACAAACTTGTGGGTAATGATCAAATTTTACTACTCTGGATCTTGCTTAACATATAACTCTGTTACACAAGACGTCCGTATTTCTTTGTGAACAGACTTTCCTTTTAATTTTCACTCTACACACACACTCTCATGTTTCTGATTAGGAGTGTGACGGGTTAGTCATACAGTTTTTTATGGAATCAATTTTAGCTGACCTGTATCTTAGATACATCATAGCTTACATTGTGTTAATATTGTATTGTATTATTGTTCGTTGAATCTTTTTCTAACAATTGGTTTAAATACTCTTGTTGTACTGTCGGAGCTTACTTGTTTCTAAAGTTCATTTTCGATGCTATGAAGTTGACCAAACACTGTCACTATTCGTTGTGTATGATACGAAGCATTTGATGAAATGTTTCATTGTTAACAACGTAAACGGTTGGGATATTTTACACTATCGTAACAGCTATTTATATGAGTGAAGGGCTGGAATTCAACTAGAAGCTCTGTGAAATTCATTATAAAATAAAATCACATAAATATAAAGTTGCTGGTAATTTTAATCAAGTTAAAAGTAACGAATTGTTAAAAATTCTTGACCTCAAACAAATTCCAGATTCTTGGTAAACTAAGTTTTTAGTAACCTATTCTTTATCACATTATGTTTTCCTATTTTTCTGCCCTAATTACGTAGTTATTCTTATTTGCATTTGATTGCTTAGAAGTTTATATATGCTGATTTGATGACGTACTATTTCAACCTCTTAAAACCATACATCACTAGTTTGGTGACTTAACTTTTCATTGTTAGTTCATAAGTAGTTAGATATATTCCTCCTATCACCCGGAGAATGGATTTGAGGTAAACACCTGGATTTATTTTGGCCCGTCAAGGTATTTACTAAATACTACATCATTTTCGTATATTTTGTCTGTTACAGTGTCACTTGTCCTCTCTTATGTGTTTGTTATTTGTTGTGTAAATGTTATTTCATCTCCTTTTAATTATGTTTTCTGTTGGCTTACTTTAATTTGTACATAATTTACTTATGTTTATTTCTGGTACGGTTCAGCTGTTTTAAGCTTTACATTTATGGTTGTTGTTTTTCAAAGATTTAGTTAGAATGTAGTCATTTTTTCTTGTGTTGTTCTTCAACGATTAACACATGAATATATCACTTAGGTAAAAATACATGCATCCCATTAGTATCTGTTTCTTGAAGCTGGAATGTTCCCAAGATTTACTTTAAAACTGTTGGTTTCGTGCGTGTACTTCCGAAACCACTCAATTTACGCGTATCACTACTAGGCTAGGAACTTCAACTACGTCTACATTTAGCGGTGCTAACTGTTGACTCTTACTTTCCAATGATGTGTACAGCGTTGATCTGCACTTGAGGCTTCCAAACATCAAACAATAGTAATCCAACCACCCAACTGAACGTAAACATAAACAAACCAATTCACTCTTCAGCAGTCAGAGGAAATCTTACAAGAGAGTTGCATAATGGACACCTCGAACCAACTGGATTAATCCTATCAATCCACACTCCCACTCCATTGATTCCCCGACTTTTTGGTGAGCTAATTTAAGACCTCCGTTCATAGTAGCTACATTTAGGCGATGGTAATAATCACTTAACGAAGATTAGACTGTAGCGTTTAAGGTCTCTATCCTCCCTTCTGTCATCCACCAGTCCTAAGTCGATTCTGATAGAAAACCACTTTTATTTAGTTATTGATTAATAAGTGAAATAATAAATCTAAGCATTTCATGCTGACTTCTTGCATTAAAAAATTCATACGAATGGGCTTTCCTCGGAGCCGTTCAAAAATTATTTAGATATTAAATTCCTGTGTGTGTGGTGTATGCTGACAGGTATAAGTAGTATGTAACATCAGAAGTGAAATACCTGACAACAGAAGATTGGATTGATGAGAACAGGAGGAGAAACTGACAACAATTGGAATAACAACAGAATTGAAAGAATCACGAAGCATGTAAAGGACAACTGAGGGAAGATGTGCCAATAATGTATAGTTTTCATATTTTATGAGGACACTTTAATTTTGCATTAAATAATAAGTCAGTTATCCCTACCAAGTTTTTGTTCACTACATATATACCTACCTTTAATAATTCAAATTATATATACTGAATCATATGCTACCTTTTATCACTTATTTAATATGATTTTTATCATGTTTTTATCTTAATATACTTCTTAAAATATTGGAGTTTTATTCCGGCCAACTATTTTATTTTTTCCTTTTTGTGCCAGCAAATATTGGAATTTGGATCTAGTCAGCTTTCTATTACCTCAATTAGTAGAGTTGATTCACAGTAAATATACCACGTAAGTTACATATGATGTTTGTACATTAATACATAGATATACTTGTCCAGGTATCCTCCATAAAGATGTACTCAAAAGTGCGAATGAAAAGAGGCTCATATTAGTGACGACAAGGACCTAGTGGGCAATTTAATAATACAATACACTGGTATATTATCTAACTATTTATAATAAATAAAAAATTAGCATCAAAAGCGCAGTTTATTAGTGTAGTACGGATGTAAATGTTACTTACATTTTTAAATTTTCAGAACACTATTTGCAAACTTGGGACGTCAGAGAGAAGTTCGTCTGACAACCACAAGGCGTATGAGCTTTGTGACAGTCCTATTTGTTCTGTTTTATGTCTGTGAAATATAGTTTATGAAAGTAGAAGGTATACGTAGGTTGCAGATGCCTTCGCACTATCGCTCGTATGTGCTGAGGTCGTTGAATTTACAATACTCAGATTATATACAGCGTACTAGGTAAGGATGGCAAACTGATTAACTAAATAGTGAGTGTTTATCAACTAAGGTTGTTGGGGACATGTATTACGTATGCTCACCCACAGCCTACCTCGACGCGGGATGATGGCTGGCATAAGGGTAAACTGAAAATAAAACCGGAGGTGGTCTACTCAATATGTGACATCAATCTGTGAAGACAATGACTGTTGGACTGAGCTACGCGGGTTGAACCGAACTACTAGGTTGAGGTCCGATTTATTAAAAGTTTGTAGAATTTGGGTAGCATGGTTCTGATCCAAATGACCCAAATGGGTTCACCTTTATCTTCTAGTTTCACAATCTCCCATTTTTTCTTCATGCACACCTTTCTATTCTGTCTTTTCATATCATATTCCTAATATTTAATCTTGCTTTTTATCATTGCTACTACATTATTTCGATTCACCTCGTGCTGATCAGATGTAGCAAATTGGGCCAGCGCACATTTGCATCGGGCTTTATTTTTATTATGTCTCTCCGTACATATCTAGATGTAAAAATTAGACTTGTGGGCTATTTCGTGTAAATTGTTAAGTACCAATTTGTTTCCTTAATTTCCTAAGGTCATTTTTGGGCGTGCTTCTATCACATCATACTTCCTTAAATGCTGTTATTAGACTCCTGCAACGAACTGCTCGGTCCCCAATTCACTCAAATGCACCCTTTTTTAGAACATAAATGAATTTACATATATTCGGATTACCGGGACCATTAAATTGGCTAGAGTCTGTATGCTACCCTTCTACCTCATTGTTCGCCTTGTAAAAATATATAGCGAAATTTGAAACGGCCTCGCACATTGTGGATCTTTGATCCGGATGTCTTCATGAGAATTTGTGAATACTTTGGTTTCTCCTTCATTCTTTACGCAGAATGGTAACCCCATCGAAACTCCTAAACCCAGTTACCACATCTGAGACTGATGCAACTTTGATTCTACCAACCACCGAATCTCCAAAGCAAAATTCTAATCTGTACTATGACTTGATGATTGACATTGCCTCCGTCATGTTATCTGGCCTGGACGGCATAAACAACCTCATATTCCATTTGGACATGCTCGTCGTAATTTTGATAAAGCTGAATCTTCATAATCAGCTGTGACAGTTAATGAATATTCCATCGGTATATGACTGAGAATATCACTCTGACAGTTTCCGATTCTGAGTTTTACTTTCATATATAAGTGAATCCTCTCTTTCCTCAATCGTTATGCATTCTTATAACGGATTTAGTGGATCCATTGAACTTGGATTTAATACTAAAGTTTGATGGTCATGTCGTGCTCGCCGAGTTGTCTGCTCCATCTGAGTGACAAATGAAGTTGATCCGATACCGTATACAACAAACGCGGAGATGACGTAACTAGTATTTAATTTGTCACTTCTGTTGTTGAGTCTGTTCAATTATTTATCTTGTCGATTAATTTTTTGCATCTACATTAGCCCTAAGTAGAGTGATATTCTGTTCCATTAGTTGGTTTGCAATAGTTTCATATTTCTTGTGATAGTATTACCTATACTCTATCTTACGATATTCTATACGTTTTGGAATCTATTTATTGCTAACTATGTTCTCTTTTCTGAAGACCTAACCATTCACAGTCAAAAATTCAGTTTTCTTGTTAATTTTTAAGTATTTTAGTTCCATCCCTATAAAGCATCAACATTACATAACTCGGGATGTAGTTTGTAGTCTTTAAATGCATTCTGTATCTTTCCAAACTCTAGTCCGACAATGAACAAGCACACCTGCACTACAATTAACTGGTCGTTATTTAGTTTTACATCTTTACATTTTCTGTCACTTTACTCCATACCCAAATAAACCATTCCAAAACAATTTGTTGGTTATTTGTCATTCACTTGCCTGTATTAATGTTCAACCCTTGTAAACTCGCTGTAGATTTGCTATATTTCATTCGTTAACATAATATTAGTGACGTCATTTTATTGTATTATTAAATCGCCCTTTTTTGCGCGCACCCTAGTTGGAGTAAACTAGACGATAATTAACATTTGATTAAAAGTAACAATCTTTTCTTTTCTCCATCATTACTAATCAAGAAGAAAACTAAAGCATATACTTAGAATCTGTTCATTAATTTATACATCTAAATTATCAGATATAATTGTGTTGGTTGTTTGAGAATAATCAACAAAAATTTATAAATGTAAGTCTTATTTTTCTAATGATGCCTCTGAACATGGAAACGTTTCCTCTTTTTGAAATACTTGCCTATCTCATTCACGTCTTAGTCAGTCATACCATATCTGCTGTGCTTTAGTAATTAAAGCGTTAAGCTTTCAGCTGCTAAGTCCCACGTTCGAACCTCACTTCACATACTTAGGTTTGGGCGACTGGATAGTATCATCATCCCTCACATCTGGAGTGTACCTGGTGAATAAACTGGTTTTAAATTTTTCAATCCTTCGATATACTGAATACGTGAGGCAACTCTATGTTAGTTGAAAGTGGTTCGAGAATATAAAACTCTATTAGTCTGTACTTCAGTTTGCAAAGAATTATAAATTACAACGAACATTTTGGTAGTATGACTATTGGATATGATACCGTTTTATTGGACTTCTGCTCCTTTTGGTGATTGTGATATTGATCACATTTCAATTGTTCTTTTTTAAAAAAACATGATTTTCCACTCACTTTTTGAATCACGTATAATTTGTTGATCTATTCATTATAATACCGGAAACTTATGGTTTATTGTAGTTGCACATTAAATAACTTTCATGATGTAGACCAACAGCTGGTAGTTTATCATTTTAATTGTTAATGATTGTCAAAGCATTTTATCTATAATTGTGCAGTTAATTAATGTAGTTCTAAATATTTGTAGCAGAACAAACACGTTAAGTATTTATTCGAATATATATCTAATATTTGACTATTCACCCTTTCATCCAATTGACTGATTGAATGTATGTTCAGTTACCTGGGTTAAGTCAAGTCAAATTCAGTGGTGGTTAGCTTCATTTCGAATAAATAAGATGGTTATCTGTTGTCAAAATAACCCCAATGTACCTGTTCTTTGTTCACCACTTTTGTCAACGAATAAAAGAGTACTTCAAGCATTTATGAATACACCTTGTCAAACCATAGTGTTTTTAAATGTAGGCTGATATAACTGAAATAATATTTTTATCAGTAATCACAACTATTATTCAGAGATGTTTAATGAGGATAATAAAAGCTGTCTGTTGATCAATTATATGATGTGACCATTAGACAAAATGAGATCTGAGTTTTTAATGCTTAACGAAGCCTTGTCTTATTGCTATTCTATGTTGTTACCGCTTATTCTAAAATATCCACTTAGTTAAACTAACACAGATATCGAGTTTGCGAACATTTGTCTAAGTGTTTACACTTTACATTTTCATGCATGATTTTAACCTTATTTTTACTTAATCTTGGGTTTTAGTCATGTTGAAACAACTTGTCAAATAGTTCGTGTAATAATCAAAAATTTTGCCCCGGTGATTCGCCAAACTATCGAAGGCCCAACTCCACCTGGAGTAGACTTGATGCGAGAAGAAAGGTTGCGCATTTTTGGGTTTTAACTGTTATTCTAATTCATATCATATGTATTAGAATGTGTATAGCGTTTTATTACCTGTTTTATAATTGATTCACAAGAATTTATACGCAATCATGCTTAGAACTTATACATTCTTATGTTATATATTATCTAGAAATCATAGCATATTTCATTTGTATGTATATTTATGTTGTAGCTATTTCATCTCAAGCCATAAAAGTCGGTTCACACACGACTGGACGGTTTGGAATCATGATTAAAAGAACCATTCAGTTCCTTACAGACTGTTTGTTTACTTCTACTTTTTTCCCAATATTTAGGTTTTGATTCGTTTAGTTTCACCCACACAACTATACAGCATAAACGCAGTTATATTGTTGTATGCTATTCTCATGAAATCGACCACTTAGACAAGACTACAGTTTATAGACGAACCAATCAGATTTAGGATTACATGTCTCGAAGTTCGGTGCGAAATTCGTTCACCCATCTGTCTAAATAGTGTTTTGGCATTCTAGCTGATGTTAGTTCGTGATGAAAACCGCAAATTTAATTCCTAACCTCAACCAGTAATTGTTAATCACAATCCTTATTTTTCACACTGCTTTATAACAACCATCTAGCCCTAGCAAGTGGGTGGGCGTTCTCAAGGTCACTTCGGCTCCGCTCAAAGGTCGTCCATAAATTATTGTTTCATCACCATTTATTTTTCCCACTCTTTTCCAAATGTTTAAAAGTAATGATGAAGCGGTAAACTCAACGTTTAAGGCATTCATTTATTAACTAAGAGGTTGCAGATTCGAATTCCGATTCACGTACTTCACTTTGCGTAGCCATGTAGCTCTCATATGACAGTACGCGTTTACATTGACCACATAAACGTGTGCTTACTTCAGTAAGAGTATTCAGAAAATAATTTCATTATTGGGAATTTATGAGTCGGTATATCAATCATTCTCAGTATTTCTCGTTTCTTAAATTTAATTGCTCTGAGTACAGAGTATTTATTGCCTCAAATTTCATCTCCTTTCCATATCTTTATGCATGTGAAAATGTATACCAATTGACGACTGATTCTATCCCAATCATTATATCATCACCCATAATTTTCTTGTGTATAGTTTCTCACTAATCAAACAGTTTTACTAAGTATTAACACTACACTTGTTTCACTCAGGTTTTTGTTCATTGAGCATATCAAGCGAATGTGTTCTACTGTACTCCAAATGTTTAATTTAGTTTTCTAAGGTTTAGATTTATAATTTCAGCTGTGAAAATAATTAAACAGAGGTTGCAGTTTTTATTAAAAATTTGTAATTTCAGTTCACATGATACTAAACTTGGTAACTTCACTTATTTAATGTTGTAACCTTCCATCTAATTTTCTAGACGTCGAAAATGTCAAGAATGCTTGTCCCATTTACTTACAATACGTTCAGCGTTAGGAACTAAAGATGTAGCGAATAAAGCTGGTCAATGCGGACGTGAGTTAAACGTGATGTTTCAGCTGCTAGTATGATAATTTACTCAAGGAGGAATGTTTTCCTGTATATTCCTAACTTTTTTCTACTGGGATGAATTCTAAAAAAGTGATTATAAACGCTGTAATCCGGTACTGCTGCATTTCGAAGATGAGATTTATGCCTGTCTGTTATATATTTGATATTGTATCATTTTGTTTCTTTATTTTATTTTCGCTGTGAAGCCAATTCCAATGTTTGTACATATATGGTAACATCTTCTGAATGTCGTTAAAGGAAAGTTATGCTATATTCCATTACAGCTTCTTATACACAACTTGCTGTGTCAAAATCAACATCAGAGATGTTTTTGAGCTTAATTTTTAGTCGTTTTTATTTCTTCCTGTTATATCTAGAACTTACATTTCGCTTGTTATACTGCCTACAACTTGAGAACTCGGACGCTTGAACCCTCCAAGTTGCAATTCAGAAGACTAGTGAAATTGAATCTTATTCTAAATAGTGTCAAATATGATACAAGACATTCAGGTATTAATAGTTTTTAATAAAAACAACCTCATCACTACAGTCATCCTATCCCTGTGCAGTGATTTTTAGAATTTGTCCGATTGGGAAGTTGCACATCAAGATTCTGTAATGTTCTTTCACAAAATAATTGGATGGAATTTTGGTGGTGTTTTGTTCTCTGAGCTGGATGGTTTAGTCGCGACTAAACCATCCAGCTCAGAGAACAAAACACCACCAAAATCATCCACCTGAGCTACAAATCTTCTCCACCATCTCAATTGGATGGAATATCTTCAGCTCTTTCAACGTTTCCTTGAGTTCAACGGGGTCCGTCCCTACACTTTTCTTCCTGTCTTTGTGCGTTCTGTTCTCCAAAAGAACATAACCGGTCGTTTAATAATAAATATCTTTGTGTCGTCAATACACAGAAATATCACCTACTCAAGTTAGTTGTGTATAGTGTATTTCATGATAAAGTAATACCATTCATAGTCTAGTTTTATTTTCACCGAGTAAAGGTTTTATTTTTCGCTCCGTTTAAGTTTATATTAAGTTTCATCCACTACATTTCACAAAATCATTAACGTTTTACGTTCAGAGTCTCAGTCCGTTGTTAGTTCCATGAGAACTATAGATTACTATATGGTAGTGGTCTTTACATCAATGAATTGTCTGATATCTCATACATTACCGTTCGAATCTCAGTTGTTACAGGCGGAATTATTTTGAGCTACAGCACCGTTGTAAACATGACTTAACAGTTTAGACTTGGATAGCTCATGTTCTTCCCAATCCCAAATGTCGTCGTCATCGAAAAATTAACTAATCAATCCAAACAAATAACACTCGGGCTTAGTTAGTCACAACTTACTCAATGCTGTAATGAAATAATGAACCGGAATGGGCGACAAATCAGTCCTCATGTCGTCACCAACAAATGATATATTCTATCTGTACAACTAGATCTCTACTTTTAAAGCTACTTCCGATTCAGATTTGTGTAGTAAGGACAGAAGGCATGCGGCCTATGTTATTCCTTTTCTAGTATGCTTCTGTGAGTGTCCAGTCTCCTCTTGAAAGTGTCAATTAAAGGTGCGGACACCACTGCTTCGGGCAGCAGGTTCCAAGTATTGATGACTCGGTGTGGAAACCTGTATGCCACCGGTATTTTGTTCATTCTTGGCTTTTCTACTCGCCTGCTATGTCCTCTGAGATGTCCCGATCTAGTGGGAAGAAAAAGAGAGAATAAGTTAGGTCCAAAAACATTTCTCAGTATTCTGTACATCAAAATTAGATCTCCCCTTAACCTGCGATAGGACAGAGTAAAGAGTTCCAGTTTTTCAAGCCGCTCTTTGTGTGGTAAACACCGGAGTTCTGGAATTGCACGGGTAGCTGCCCTTTGTACTTTTTCTAGGATATCAGAGTCACCTTTTAAACAGGGGCTTACAGCCTGAACGCAATTCTCAAGCTTAGTTCTCACTAAGGATGTGTATACTGTGGTGAACATTTTAGGTTCGCAAACCGAAGAAATCCTTGCCTAATTCCAAGTGTAAGAACATTCACTAGGTGATTTTTATTGTCGACTTGTTCACTATCATTTTGAAGTTATAAGCTCGCTTAATACTCCAATACTACACCTGAAATTAGATTTTGGAAAGACATTTCTTGGGTTTTGTGGATTCATAGTTACTTGGAGTAAATGCAAACACAAAATCAAAATATTAAAATGGTTTCACATCCACTTTCCAGAGAATTGTGCTACAGTTCTGTCTAGTATGGTATTCGTAAATTGATCTGTTTTCACTAAGCTTGTCGTTTTCGTACAGCAAACTATGAATCGAGTAATTATTATTCAGACGATTCCTACTCCAACTGTCTTTAAAGTTGCTTACAAATTGATGACTAGGAATCTTTGGAACTGATAATTCTCAGGATAATAATTTTATTATAATTTCTGTTATGAATTTTGTAAGTCGGCTAACACTTGTAGTCGGTTATGGATTACCTTCATATTGTTTCTCGCAAAGTAATTACGAACCACTATTATTATCCAATTGATCTAACAAATTCCGTGTATTGAGTTCTTTAAAACTGCTTTCGTCTCAATTACCGATATAAAGTTCTTCAACAAGTCGACCCAATAGCACTGGTAACTAACTGCGATACGATAAAAAGAATGGGACGACTATGATAATTTTTCTTTGATAATATTCTTATCTTATGTGGCTTGGAAGAAATAGACAGCAATACCAATTATATCTCCAAACCCAGTTGAAGATCCGTGTTCTTGATATTCTATTGTCATCTGCAGAAACGCCTTTGATATTTTCTTCCTTTTGTATTTCCAAACTACATTTCATTAGGATCTCAGAGTTTGTGTAGACTACTTGAAAGCAAGAGTTGTTTCTTAGACTTGCTAATCTGCTTTTAGGTAATGGATAAATAACAAATTAATAAACAAATATTATGTGAATACGTTGAATTGTTTAGTGCATCATAAATTAATTTCTTCAGATGGATTCGTTGAAATTGGTCATTTTTAATTCATTCGCCTGTTTTCGTTCTTTCCATAGTCCATCCAATTTGTCACAGAAACGTTTCGGAAGCAAAAAGTGGAAATCGGTCATAGCTTCAATTTTCAGAGTACTTTTGTCTGACAAGTGAGAGGCTCGAAAACTGTATTTTTAATTGCCAGAATATAGAATCCCAGATCTCATGTATTAATAGGTTTACCAGCATATGTACGCTTCACTGAAAGTCAAAAATTGAATGTATAGCTTGGTCAACATAGAATAACAGTATGGGTTGCTCAGTTTTTTTCTTTGCTGCATGGTATTCACGGGTAAACTTGAAAATGTGAGATTACACCTAAACATGAAGACTTGTTGGTTGACAATGTTGAAGTTAGTCATTAATATCAGATTGTGAAAGTTAGGATTATTCGTATTGATTTGCTAAGAATTCCCGAAATAGTGCAGTTTGAGGTTGGTAGAGCTAAATGAGTCCAAGTGGTAGTACAGATTTCTGTAGTCAACTGCACATCTGCGTGGGTCTGTCGTGTCCTTCCGGTTGTGCATTGAGTAGACTATGTAATATCTAGAATGTACTCATCAGTTTGTGAACTCGCGACAGAAATTTGATCAGACTCATCTGATTCCTAGGAATGTATTCGATCAACATGTAGGTTGTGTATAGTTATATCGTTGATGTCTAGGATTCCAACCATAGATTTTGTAACATTCTGTATCGCAATCTCCATGGCTTATGGAAGATCATTTTCATTGTAATATGTAACTTTTGCAGACCCTAGAAATCTCATATTCGAACGGAGAATCTTTTTGTTTAATAACATCGATGAAGTTCCTTTCGTTACAGAATGCTTGGCATTTCAATATTACAGAGTTGTATGTGCTTCGAGGAAGAATTTGCGTAATGAGGAATGCATAACAACACCTTTATTTGAGGACAAGATATCATCAGGATTAGTGTATAACTCTTCATGCTCGGAAATATAGAGTGAAAATCCAAGTTTCAGATAAGCATGCCACACTTTTCGTATAACACTAACTATGCATCCAAAATATCGATGTTTCCCTAATCAGATCTGGATGGCTCAACAATAAATGTTGCACTAACAAACGGTCTGAAGTGTTAACGGGTTTATCTTGTAATGACTGTCGAGATGTTTGGCGAATATGTTGGATTCGTTTGGCGCATTTGTGCTTAATCGCATGGTTATAAGCACCGCTGACTCATAGAAGCTGAGAAATTTGTCAAGAACTTTTGAGGATGAGGAATGTACTACAAGGTTTCATGATATATAACGATGATGAATTTCTTCCCAAATAAATACTTACGCCACGAAACAAAGCTAGTGCCTTTCTCTGAGTTTGTGAATAAATCCTCAGAAACAATAACTCTGTAGGTCTTCGACATTTGATGCTGACCAAATTAATTTTAATGGACTCACCTAGTTGAAAGGCGCTCTGTTACGTATCCACATCAGACCACAAGTGGGAACGCGGTACTCAGTCACTTCTCGATATATTCATAACCTGGCAAATATATCTTCAAAACTCTTCGCTTCTGATATCACTCGATGGACACATTTCGACCACAGGTGTTCCTGGTTGAGGTTTTGTCAAACTCCAAATACTTGTGGCATCACCTCACGCAAAATAAACCTATTTGGATTCGCAGTAACATTCTCTCTGACACTAGCTACGTTTCCAGAACCCTGAATTATAAGATTGTACTGGCCTACTTTTATCAAGAGAACACGATTGGTGCAATGGAAACAATTATTATTATAATCAATTGTACCAGGAACTGTATTACCGTACTTGTTTGTTTAACTGTACCAAAACACATGCATTCTTCCTTCCGTCGATTATGACCTTGCACGCGCTCACGTTTGCTGAGTGATTCCGCTTGTATTCCTTTGGCACGATCATGGTATACTTTCGATACCACGAGATCGCCAACAAATATATCTCGCTACAACCTCCGATCGCCTTCTGATATCTGGTAC